TCTTTAAAACTTACAATAAGTCTTACTTTGTCTATTTATGCCAATCAAAATAGGAGTTTCATTAAATTTCAGAGGCTTTAAAAAACTAATTTTTTTAATCTATCTCTGGAGATAAGCAAAGGCACGCAAATGTAACAACAAACATATTTGGAAAATATTTCACACTCGTGCAATAAAGAATTTTATCCACGTTTTAGGCAAACTAGGGAACTCTGAAGTTTGGTGCCAAATTTCTTCCTATTTCAGTATACGTATCTGTATGTTTTGTTTTGTTTGTTTTAACATAAAGCTCTTTTTCACATCTCATCTAGTTCATTTTATTTTATGGGACTTTTTTAACAAAAGGAGAAAGGAAAATCTAAGTTACTCAACATCGTTCAGGCTGCTTAGAAAGTCTTGAAATTCCAGAGAAGTCAAAAGTAATTTTCCCATTCTACTGAAGTCCCATTCCATCACTCGTACACACTCACCAATGTAATTATTATAAAAAGCAAGGAAAATCTTCAGTCTCAAGTCTTTATGCTAAAACTATTTAAAACTAATTTCAATTTTACTCTTAAATCTCTGCATACATTCTCTCCTAGTTGATGGTTAATCTGTATTTCTGAATTATATATCCCTGGTAATGCATATAAATGACCAATTTTTATGTCCAATTAATTTCCAGAAGTTGAGAGGCAATACAATGGATGAATGCCAGGTGCAAATACAAGAAGTGTTACAATTACAGACATTAGTAAAAGGTTAATTACTTTTCCTTTACACAGAGATAAATGACTTTTTTCTTTATTTACACACACCCACACACAAACTTCATCCACAAATCAAAAATTAAGAACAAAACTCACCCATTAATTGGAGGGAGACCAGAGACAAAAAGGATGGCAGGGAGCTGCTGCCTTCTTTACAGCAAGCATGAACATTTTTTCTTGTTTTTTTAAAGCTCACAGTACTGTGTAAATAAGACAAATAATATGGAGGATTCTGACACTGACAGAAAAAAACAGTGTAGGTTGCAACATAAACACCTTAATCATACAGGTAAGTCCAGTCATTGGCTTGACTGAAATGCCAGTTGATATTTGGAGTTCCTCAAGATAGGCAAACAAACAAGAAAGATAAATGGTTGCTTGACAGAAAAATAGAAGGTCAGAATACCGAAGTCAGCTTCTCAACATTGCTTTCACCAATCGAATAAAGCAGCTGTGCCCCATCAAAACCAGAACCAGACTTGACCAAGATCCAGAGAAAGAACCAGAAGGAGGGCAAAGCAGGAAACTGAGTCAGCAAGTGTAAAAGCTCTCATTGTGGAATGTGGTTCATCCTGGAGTCAAGTTGAGCCTGGGTGCAAACAGCTGGGGTGCATCTCACAGGCAAAGTCAACTGGGAAGGTGAATCACCTGGATATTCTAGCAGAATGTCCACCTGTGAAAAGAAAACTGAGACAAGCGCATTTAGGAAGGGAGTTCACTTACAAAGAAGTCTGCAAGGGAATTTTCAGGCTTTAGGACTGGCTCACAAATGAAAAAGGCAGTTTATTTGAAAGAAAAATAACTTTCCCAAGTACCAGTGTTACTGAATTAATAATTAGCCTGATCAGGGAGTAAAGCAGCATTTATCTCACAGAACTTCGCCACACATTTTTTTCTTTTTAAAGTTGGAGTCTCACTCTGTCAACTAGGCTGGAGTGCAGTGGAACGATCACGGCTACCACAGCCTTGACCTGCTGGGTTCAGGTGATCCTTCCATCTCAACCTTCCAAGTATCTGGGACATCAGGCATGCGTCACCATGCCCAGTTCATTTTTTGATTTATTGTGAGGTATTGCCAAGTTGCCCAGGATGGTCTCGAACCCAAGGGCTCAGGTAATCCTCTCTCCTCGTCTTCCCAAAGTGCTGGGATTATAGGCGTGAGTCACTGTGCCCAGTCTTCACATTTTCAAACATCTTGGAAAACATCATTTTTCTGGTTTATTTCAGGTTGCAAAGCCCCTCCCTCGCCCAGCCTCCCCCAACTATGGGATGCTTACTTAAATGAAGGCAAGGTAAAATATTTGGTTTTGTTGACCCCAGCCTTCCCCTCCCTTTAAGGCAGAATTAGGCACTGCATTTACTTCTCCCTGCCAGGCAAGCCACAAATTGACCTGATGTTTGCCTCAAGAAAAAAAGACACTCATACCAAGAGTTCAGTCTTCTGTGTCTACTTACCCTGTTTATGTGACTGAGAGCTTAGGTCAATAGTTCAAACTGGTGACAATTTTGCCCCCTAGGCATCATTTGGCAATGTCTGAGACTCTTTTGGATAACTGACTCAACCACTCTATGCTTTCGTTTTCCCATCTGTAGACTAAAGAACATAAAATAGTGCCTGTTCCTCATAAGGTTGCTGTGACTCTTAGGTGCCATATAACTGTTTGCTATGGTAATCTTTACTGGCAATACACAATCTATTCCTGTTTCTAGGAATGCAACATATATCTATATGATTATCACTTGAACGGTTTTCCTTTTATCTACATGTAGATTCTCTCTGCCATGTGTATACTTGTAGGTGAAGCGGCTTCAACATAAAGATAAATCTTCAGTGACTCATCATCACTTTCTGTTAGCCATTTCTTTGAATCAAGGGGGTGCTAAAAAATGTGCACATTTTAAGTTATCTTTGTATTACTTTTAGTTTGCTATAATCTGGACGCTGATGGTAACCACTTTGAGCACCTCTTGTAACTGCAGAAGTCAAACGTGACGTATATTCATCTTTTGTTATCAGTATATATTATTACAACTTTAATAAGTTTTTTCTTTTAAAATGTGCATACTTTTTTTTGGCACCCTCTGTAGTTGTGCAGAAACATAGCAGGCTTGATGACTATTCTTTGAAAGGCCTGCTTACAAGATTGGCCCTTGTTCTCAGGTGTCCGAAAACATAGATTTTAGAAGTGTCCCCACCAATTCCCAAAATTGATAAAAGTGGCTTAAATAAGACTAAACTGTTAGTATACAAAATATGGTTTATGCTAAACACATCTTTCCTCTGAGTCTGGAATTTTGTTATGAGCCAGTCAGAGGGTGCCTAAATAAACTGACCCCATTGAAAACCATGGACACAACATCTCAAAAGAGCAAACCTGATTGAACACCTCATACGTGTTGTCACCACTCTTGTGGGGGGCGGGGAAGAATATGGGCATCTTGTGTGACTCTGTGGGGAGGGACCAGTTGGGAGCTGGGAGCTGGTATTCCCCAGACTTCACCCATGCACCTTTCCTCCATGCTCTTGTTCTATATCCTTTTGCTGTAATAAACCTTAGCTGCATGACTGAATGTTGAGTTCTGGGAGTCCTCCTAGTGACAAGGTGTAAAGACTTCTGTCACATAAATCTTATTGTTTCATTCCACTCCTGATGATATGTAAAAGGTCATATTTGCCAACTTAAGTTAAAATACCACATTTAATCTCATGCACTGTGTTGGTAAACACATGAATTGATAAGCATCATTTCCATTTTCAGCTGCTTCAAGTTTTCCTTAATCAAACAAATAATCTGCCATTATATATGGGTCAGTGGCATAAACATTTTATAAACTAAATTGTATAACAGACATTTTCTTTTTTTCTTTGCATTTTCTAGTTTCTACTCTTTTCATCACATCAGCAAAATCCTTGGAAGTATCTTTCCCACTTCTCATAGGATGTACTCTATTATCCTTCACTGAGTTAATTTTTCTGGGTCTTAGAGCAATTTCAATGCTTTAATATCTGCTATAAAATCAGCTGTTGCTTCTCCATAGTCTCCTTTTTCTCCCCAAAATTGCATCTTCCCTTAGAATGTCATGTAAGAAAAAAATCCTCATGTCCCAAGTCCCTTGGTTTTTCTGTCTAGTTTACAAATATATTCTCTAACTAACGATGCTTCAGCTTTTTTTCTCCTCTACTTCCCAAACTATATTCCTTTAGAATATGATCCTCAAGCTGGTTATGACACAATATTCTGTGATTAACTAATTTTGGAAAATCAGTAAGCAAAGTTAAAACAGATTTTTTTTTTTTTTTGAGTTGGAGTCTCACTCTGTTGCCCAGGCTGGAGTGCAGTGATATACTCAAGGCCACTCCAGCGTCAACCTGCTGGGCTCTGGCGATCCTTCCACCTTAGTCTTCCAAGTAGCCGGAACTACAGGAGAGCGCTACCACGTCCGGTTAATTTTTTATTTATTGTAAAGTGAGGTCTCACCAAGTTGTCTGGGCTAGTCTCAAACCCACAGGGCTCAGGCAATCCACTCACCTCAGCTTCCCAAAGCACTGGGATTACAGGTTGAGCCACCGAACCTGGCTTAAAAGAGAGATTTCTTATAGAACTTCTCAGTCATTGATATAATCACTTCAATTGTGAAGAAACATTTTGGCTTTTTGATTTGTATGTAGATAGTTCTGCATACATTACATAAAAGCATAAGATTTACCCCCAGAAACATCTTAAGAAGACCAATAATTTACAGTATACATTTTAAGAAATAGTATGCCAGTCCCTGCTGGGCAGCACTTATCATATCTGATGTCTAAGACGCCTGTGGATACAACTCCAAGAAAACTGCAAGCATCATGGCCAACCAGACATAGTTATGCTGATTCCTAAATCTATTGCCTTTTAGAGATGAAAATGTCTAAAATGTTAACCAAAGTATGAATTAAAAATGAGATCAAATACAAACTGTTAATGGATTACTAATTATAGACTTCTCTGTTTGTGGGAAAATTACAATTTGATATGATAGGAAAGGAAGAAGTTTCTTTAACAATGGCAGCAAATTATTTGCCCCATAAAAGAAAAAATTAAGTTCAGTTAGTTTAAGTCAATAATCACTCAAAAGCTCATCTATCAACCTGGAACTTGAACTGCTTGATTTCTAAAATTAGAAGAAAATATATACACTAAAAATAAGACTATTGAGCAATATCTTTTAAAGTAACAAGAATACATTACTACTAAATACACTTACAAAGATGTTTGTTAATACTTTATTAGTATTTTCTAATGGACAGAACATAACAAACCAAACAAAGTTTTTAATCTTTTTAGTTCAATAAAAATAACTGACATTCTGATTGTTGTTTCTTCTTTGTTAAAGAAAGAAAGTGTTGATAGAACAGTTAGGCACACAGTTGACACTTACTGTACAATGATATGCACAAGTTATCTTTTAACAATTATAATCCTAAAATGTGCTCTTTATATTTTTCCCCTGCAATACAGGAGCCATGCTCCTATAAGCAAAATTTACTACTAATAAAATAATTTTACAAGGAGTGACAAAAAGACTTTTAAAACAAGTCCTTAAATAAAAGGATGCAGCAACAACGGAATGTAAGTTGTTGGGTTAAGAAGACAGTTTAAACTACATCTCAAAACATTAAAAATTCATTTATTTTACAATTACTCAAATACACATGCATTAAATGAAAATATTGCACAAAATTAAAATCTTAGGTTGTGAAATTTATATTCTTAATTTTTTAAAAAATTGGTACACTTTCTGGTAGCACTTAACTGATTTTTTTCAAACACCAGCAACACAAACTTAAAATGAACAAACTGAAATATACAAGAGTCTTTAATGCTTTTTTTTAAAAAAAAAAAAAAATTAAGGCTAACCAAGTGCATCCATTGGTCAATGGCACAATTGTTTTCAGCAACTATTTGGAATACCCTAATTATTGGAAATGACCATCCAACTGATATATTTAAATCATACAATCAACTTTTTAGGCAAATAAACTATGATGGTTTCTAAGTAGTTTATATGTTACCTGAAAATTCAGAAAACCCAAACAAAAGAATGATTAATTTGGAAGGTTCTTGCCTAAAGGCACCACTGACTTAAAAACACATTCAAAATCAAATACCAGAAGACATAAAGCCTCTTCATGTATATATTCATATATGCAATAAATGCATTAAATGTAATAACTGTATTAAATATAGTACACTGTACTTGATTTATGGGTTAAATATTTTACACACAGCTTGACCAAGTCATTCAAAAAGTATCTCTAATTTTAGCATGACCACGGCTCTTTCTGATGTAAAACACAGATGGGCAGAGAGACATGCACCACCTTTTACAAAGACAAAACCATTTGACATTTCTGTTTTTGAAATATAAACTTTTAAACAAATAATTACCTTAAAAACTCATCTACTCAAATAGTTTTTGGTATGACTGCAGTTATTTTGTAGGGCTCTGTGTTGAAGTTTGCAATCTTATATGACCTTTCTTTCCCCGGTTCATGGCCAGTGCTCCTCACATTATATAGAAATGCTTTTATGTATGTACATACTAGGCTCTTACATGAATTCTTCTGTATACTCTTAAATTTATTCATGTCAAAAATATACTTGAAATGGGCAGGGTATATACGAAAATCATTGCACTTATGGCCATGCTGATGCTTCCTACTGACATGTTTCACACATCTTCACTTTTAAAGCCTGGGGCTCAGGGAGGGGCCAGGGCAGGGAGACACCCTGAGAAGAAGAAATACTATTTCTTCCACCAGAGCCACTAAGGATCTTTTCTCACTTGCAAGTTGCAATGAAAGAGATTTCACTTATGTAGTTCTGAAGACATGCAACACGTGCTGAATATATGCATACTACAAGTATGCACAACAGCATTATTAATAAATATGATTATTATCATAAAGCTTTAAAGGAAGGCTTTATTCTGTTAATATGCCTCACTTTGTAAGTAGGATCTAAGTTAAAACAAGACAGTAATATCTTGTTCCAATCTTAAAGCTCCCAAACAACTGGGATACCAACATGCTGTCCCTTTATCTTAAGCACCCAGACGTTCTTTTAATACCAGGATCTTGGCTCAGTGGTCTGATAAAAGTAGCTTCACTATTTTAAGGTTTTAGTGTTAAATATTTGTAAAACAAAAAAAGTTTGACACACCCAAACCCTTAGTCAATGGAAGTATTTAAAACTATGCAGGAATCCTGCATACAAGGGATATGAAGACTTCCAAGATGAACAAAATGGAGAGTGAGAAAACTATAGGAAATACAGAGGCTCCAAAACTGGAGAAGATATTTTGTTTTGTTGGTATAAAATTATTGTAGGGACTTAAATGTATACACCAAGTGGTTCTGCCTACTAGCTTTATTTAGTAGAATTTTACATTATGCGAAATATAAATAAAGCATATTTTAAAAAATATTATAGTTCTGTTTTCATTATTTATTTTCATATATGTACACTGTAATAGAATTAGGAATTTGTATGTTTACATATGACTAATAAGCTCATTAATCCTTTAATTTGCTATTTTTGCAGTTACCTAAGGCATGTCTAGATCACACAATTTAAAATTATCATATGGTAACTTTCAATAGAGTACTACTTTATTTTAATTTCCATATTTGTAGAAGGACAAAATGTATTTGGCAGTTCTTCCAACAAATAATATCCCCTTCTGTATAATCAGTAATCTGGTAAAGATAAAACTAATAACTTTGAAATTTAAATGAGAGCCAGCCACCACATGCTTCTTTTTGCACACAAAATGCCAAAAGAAAACTTAAATTCATTAACATAAGAGCAAACCAGAGCCCTTAAATCACATATCAATTAAAAATTGATTTATACTAATAACAAATCCAATCAAATTCTGTTTATGATTGGTTGTATCTTATACTCAGTTTTACTTTGCAAAACTGTAATTTGGGTATAAGGTTATTTTATACTTTAAGGACATTCTGTCACTTTCCCGAGATCTGAAACAGATGTTCCAAAGATCATCCACCTGGCTAATCAACACTATATCAAAATGCTGACACAAGACTTACAAAATTTTTATGCAAAACAGATTCCTCCAAATCATACAATGCACAGTCTCCAACTGTTAAACAACTTATTCAATTTAACCATGAACCACTGTTTTGTGCTTTCCTTAGCTCTCATATATAAACTCTGGCACTTTGTCATTGCTGGAAAATGCTGATTAATTCAAAATGGAAGAGACCCATGTCACTCTTGCTTGAGATGGGGGCAGTATCCTCTCAATGTTGCAAAAATATGCACCAAATCATTTAAGACACGGATATCTCTCTTGGTAGTGGCTGGATTATAGATGAGGATGAAGAACCACAGACTTATGGATGTATTAATAATCTATTTTGAGACACTAAAAGACTGGTGCAGACACAACAGTATATGAGTTAAGCCCCAGAAGGTCTGTCCATACCATTAGTCCTGGACAAAGTGAACATGAGTTTCATGACTGCAGTGTCACCTTTTCTGTAAAGAAGGCGCTTGAGTAGTTTGAAGTTTCTGTTTATATTTCTGCATCTGCTTTGACCGTGAATGCAGTTTGTTGAAAAGTTCACGAAATTTATACTGTGGAAATAAGGTTTCTAAAAAGCCTTCCAAGAAGACATAGACCATTCTCCTATTTAACTGGTTGTGCTGAAACATTTCAAAAACACGAAGAATACCTTTCCGTGTTGTCTCAGCCCCAATAATGTGCTTCAGTTCATCTAAATGAAGAGGGGAAGTAAATATACATAATTTGTCACTCAAAGGTAAACATAAGGCCTAAACTCTTAAATACTCTTAAATTACATAACATGTGCAAAGTACACAGCAGAGTAACTGATAAATAGTAGGTATCTAGTTAATGAATTCAACTATGTATTATAACTGAAACTTAAAATTTATGCATTTGTCCATCTATCTACAATCCCATCCCTTAATACTCATGTGATACTTACCATCACCCTGACTCTGTTGATTTATAATAACCAATATCCTTATAGCTGTAAGGATTTATAAGGCCTTTTTTTTTTGGAGTTGGAGTCTCACTCTGTTGCCCAGACTGGAGTGCAGTGGCACGCTCTTGGCCACCGCAGCCTTGACCTGCTGGGTTCCGGCAATCTTTCAGCCTCAGCCTTCCAAGTAGCCAGAACTACAGGTGCGTGCTACCATGCTCAGCTAATTTTTGATTTATTGTAGAGATGAGGTCTTGCCAAGTTACCCGGGTGGGTCTTGAACCCGCGGGCTCAGGCAATCCACTCACCTCAGCCTCCCAAAATGCTGGGATTACAGGCTGACCCACCGAGTCTGGCCTATAAGGCTTTAATGAGATAATATGAAAGTGATCTGGAACACTATACCAGTATCCTCATTATGTCTAATTAACAGTGAGAAATGCCAAAGGGAAAAAACTAATCCAAGACTATGAATAAAGTTTTACTGATTCACACACACAAGAAAACAAAACCTAATCTATGATTTCGAAAAACTTGCAGCATAGCAACACCACCATAAAAATACTACAAGTATAAACATGTTTGCAGTGGGAAGAATTCTAGATGAGATAATAAGTAGATGAGAATAAGTAGGAGATAATAAGTAAGAGAATTCTAGATGAGGTAATAAGTCTACATATGAAGTAGACTTTGCTACCTGGGAAGGATTCTAATAGATGTAGCAAGATGAAGGATTAGCCTAGGTGGAGAGAACGTCAACCAGCAAATAGGCAGTAAATGGAAAAACAACAAGGCATGTTTAAGACATGGGGATAGTATAGTTTGGTTGCATTTTAGGATTCCTGTAAGAGAATGTGGAGGAAAGGAACAGAAAACTACTGGTGTTTGACTGTCAGGGTGCACAAGTTTGGAGTGTATCCATTGGCAACACAAAGTTACTTCAGATATTTGAGTTTGGGACCAACATACATAATTATTCTTAATTTTCATAACCATGGCTCCAATAGCATAAATATTATTTTGCTGCTTTGGAAAAAAATATGCATTTCCAAAAAAGGTCTGAATTTAAGGATACAATATAATTTAAAACAAATATGCTGTAAATTTACTAAAAAATAGGCAAATGACTATGCATTGATAAAATCATATACTTTTATATCTACCTTCACCTTCTTCAGCTCTTCACACCATGGTCACCTTGTCAGTGAGGCGTTCCTTGGCCATCCGATTTAAAACTGCAACTCACCTGACATTGTCTAGTACCTTTTCCTGCAGTATTTCGCTCTTTAATATTTATCACAACCTAACATACTATATTCTATTTATTTGGTTGATTTGTTTTTTGGGTTCCCCTATTAGAATATAAGCTCCAATTATCTGGGCGTGGTAACGCGCACCTGCAGTTGCGGCTACTTGGAAGGCTGAGGTGTAAGGATAGCCGGAGCCCAGCAGGTCGAGGCTGCAGTAGCCAGGAGCGTGCCACTGTACTCCAGTCTGGGCGACAGAGTGAGACTCCAACTCAAAAAAAAAAAAAAAAGAATTAAGCTCCAAGAAGACAAAAAAACAGTGTTTGGCGCATGATACACTTTCAATAATATTTAATGAAAAAGCATATTAAGATTTCTTCCAACTGCATAACTGACTCAGTATATAAAGCACACTCTGGTTTATTTTACTAATATATTAAATAATGTCCTAAATTATTCTTTTTTCTTATCTCTCTATAATGTTATTTCTATAATTTTCTCTTTACTAACAAATGCAAGAGTACAGAGGAAAGAATTAACAGTCATGTGGCAAGTTTCTAATTTAATTTACAGAAGAAAAAGCTGATCATTAAGGTTTGTGATAAAAATACAGTGTTAGTCTGGGCATGGTGGCTTATACCTGTAATTCCAGTACTTTGGGAGGCACCAGAGGAGTTTGAGACCAGCCTGGGCAACACAGCTAAACCACGTTTTTACACAAAATAAAAACATCAGCTGGGCCTGGTAACACACACCTGTAGTCACGGCTACTAGGGAAGTTGAGGCAGGAGGATAGCCTGAGCCCAGGAGGTCAAGGCTGCGGTGAGCTATGATCACAGCACTGCACTCAAGCCTAGGCAACAGAGTGAGAATCCAACTCCAAAAAGTAAAAATATATATACTTTATAAGAAAGGAAAAGTATAGGACAAGAGTAAGGTATTGTATATGATATTAAAGAACTTACAAATATGTCTTGCCCATTCTCTACATCCACAATTAAAATATGGAGAAAAGAGTTATAGGCATTTTCAAAGATGTTCATAAACAAAGAAGGGACAAAACAGCCACTACCACCTCTCAGCCACATAAAGCTACTTTTCATATTATATAGCCTCTCTTATTGAGAAGACAAAGCAAACCTAATGTAGTGAAAAAGCTGTATCCTAAAGAAGAAACTAACATTAGACCAATAAAATACCACTACTGTATGTATACATTCTTTGGGATTATGTTTTAATTAATAAGGATCAATAAAGAACCAATCAGTTCTTTATGTAAATGGTTATTTGAAATTATTTGTTTGCTCAGAAAGAACAAATATTCTTCCTGAAAAATTCATACTTCATATCCTTTTATTATATATTCTTTCATCTGTCCTATATTTTATTTATTTAACAACTTTATTCCCAAGGCAGCAGAGTAAAGTGGCTAAAAGCAAAAGCTTTCAAATCCCTAAAAGCTGCGTCAGAATACCAATTGTCACTTACTAGCTCTAAGCCCTGGGTAGGTTACTTAACCTCTCTGAGCTTCTGTTTCCTCACACACAAAGCTGTGATGTTCACATACCTACCTTCAAAGCACTGCTATGAGGCTTGGTTTAGAATAAATACGAAGTGCCTGGAATGGAGCAAGCCATCACAGGGTATTCTAATCAAAAGGCCGTTAAGCTAGCATGATCAGTGCCAAAAATTCCAAATGTTAACAAATTAAAGAGATTTGTAACCAAACATGCTCACTCACCTGGCATAATTGCGAGTAATTTCGTTTTTCCTGCAACTCTTGTTCTCATTCGAATACCTTTATCTCTGCATGGAACAGTCTCTGCTAAAATGCCATTTGGCCAAAATGCATCCCTATTTAAGGAGATTAAATACAATTTGTAAACATTCTCATTTATAACAATACAAGTTGATAAAATTATTCCAAATTTCTATAGAAAACACAAATGTGAACAAAAGAAGAAAAATTTCTGAACATTTACCTAGGTATAAGGACATTCAGCAAACATCAATAAGTGTAGGGTTCAATTTTTGGTGTAAAAGCATATACACAAGAGAAGCAACAGATTAATTCTGCCCTGAGGCAGTTCATAAACACTAACAAAGACAGCAAAATGGAAAATATAGTTGATTGTATCACAGCTATTTAAACTCAAAGTGGGCATCTGTTAATTGAACACCTCATTCAAATACATCCCCACAATATCTTGAATTTGGATACCTTAGTGTTTAATAGCTAATCTTCAGTTATGCTACCCCACTTCCTTTATAACTAAGCCAACATATATCTAAACTTCATGCCCTCACCTTATAACTGGATTTGCATACAATTATTCTTTTATACATGTAACAACGCATTCTTCTTGAATTTCAGTTGGCCTGTTTCCTGTTCCGAAGTTCTTGGTCCAAAGGCAGGAATTGTGCACAATAACTATGCTTTCATTTGGAAACTTGTTATGAGCGAGAGCTTCCCATGAGCAGTTGTTCTGAACTTTGCCCATTAGAAACACCTGGGAGGCCGGGCTCGGTGGCTCACCCTGTAATCCTGCACTTTGGGAGGCTGAGGTAAGTGGACTGCCTGAGCCTGCGGGGTTGAGACCCGCCTGGGCAACTTGGTGAGACCTCATCTTTACAATAAATCAAAAATTAGCCGGGCATGGTAGTGTGCACCTGTAGTTCCAGCTACTTGGAAGGCTGAGGCGGAAGAATCACTGGAACCCAGCAGGTCGAGGCTGCAGTGGCCAGGAGTGGCCACTGCACTCCAGTCTGGGTGACAGACTGAGACTCCAACTCAAAAAATAAAAATAAATAAATAAATAAATAAATAAATGAATAAATAAATAAATAAATAAATAAATAAATAAATCTTAAAAAAAAAAGAAACACCTGGGAGCTCTAAAAAGTCTTAAAATTCAGGCCTTACACCCGATCAAGTAAGACTCTCTGGAAATGGAATCCTGGCATTGGTAAGTTTTAAAGCTCTACGAGTGATTCCAATATACAGCCAAGACTGAGTATTACCATTCTGGAGGAACACCATTTATCTACTCTGAGGTAAAACGAACATGCCAGGGAAACAATATGGTACGGTGGGGAAAAAGTTAGCTGCAGATTAGAGAAATAGGATTCCCCACTTGCCAGCACGAGAGCCCTTAGGCAGACTTACTTCTCAAATCCTCAATTTCCTCACAACAAAAGAGAGACAAAAATACCTACCTCATAATATAAAATCAGAAAGCATACAAAAAGTACTGGGAGCAGTGCCAAGCACACAGTGATTGTCTTAATAGCTATAGTTCTCTTCTTGCTTCCTTTCCTTTCCTCGAAGTATATGATGCCATGAATTTTTATGCATTGCTTATCTTCACTTTTAGAAAAGTTAATTTCTCTACAAGCTATTTCCTCAAGGGACTGCATTCTTATCTCTTAGTTCTCTACCAACACAGAGGAGGGGTTCAGTATATTTTTGTAAAATGAACATTTAGAGTATCAGTGTTGCTTAATTTGTGTTCATTTCAGAGCTTCAAATATTTAATAAGAAAAAAATTAGAGCACAGACAGACATACATTTAAGATTTTCATTTAAAATCAAGGTTAGTAAATACAACTGAGAAAAACGAATCCCCTAAACTAAGTAAGTATTTGATTACATGACCATGGCATTTCTTTCTTTCTTTCTTTTTTTTTTGAGTTGGAGTCTCACTCTGTCACCCTCGCTGAAATGCAGTGGCATGCTCCTGGTCACAGCAGCCTCAACCTGCTGGGGTCAGGTAATTGTTTCACTTCAGCTTTCCAAGTAGTACCATTCTTAGCCCGCTGGAAAAACAGGCACATACTACCAGGTCCAGCTAATTTTTTGATTGATTGTAGAGATGCGGTCTCGCCAAGTTGTCCAAGCTGGTCAAACATGCAGGCTCAAGAAATCCACTCACTTCGGCCTCCCAAAGTGCTAGTATTACAGGCTGAGCCACTGAGCTCAGTTGACCATGTCATTTCTGTACTAACATTTCAATTATTTTAAAGCCACAGTACAGTGATAAAAATGTAGGCTATCATGTTAAAGAATTTTTCTGCTTTTCTTATTCTGATTTTAAAGAAACAAAGATCAATGGGTCCATGTGACAAACATTTATTATAATTCTTAGAAGTCTTTTTGCTCATTAATGATAACTAAAACTAACTTTGTGGCAGGAAGGAAACAAAAGCAATAAAAGTTAATTAGTGATAATGATGCTAAACTCTGTACTACCTGAAAGAAGTGACTGTGTCTTAAGATATACCTGAAACGTTTCACTGAGTCGGCTACTTGTTCGGGTGAAGTCATCCAATCAACATGGTCAACTATTTTTCTGAAAGTAAAGAAATGTGAGTAAGAATAAAATATTCTGCAAAAGCTGAATAAAATAAACATGACTTTCATGAAGCAAGCAGCTTAATTTGTATATATAAAATCTCTATGGGCAACTGACTATTTTAATGATCTTAAAAGGCTACAGAAGGAAATTCTCCCACAAAGGTTTAGCAATCTACTTCCAGAAGGAATAGTTTAAGAGCTAAGTAAGATCAGACTACACGAGGAGGGGAAAAAAGAGTGGTACCTATTAATAGTATCACCATATGTAGCTCTAATAAGCTGCTGAAGTAGGTTTTTGATATTCCTTCGCAACCACTGATTTCTCTCTTTTAAGTCAAATACTTCATCCATGAGAAGCAGCATTACCCTGAGTGGAATATTGTCATCCACCTGACAAAATAGGGAAGAAATAAGTTTGAATTAGTCAACTACTACAAATGACTACTTTTGTGACATTTTATATAAAATGATTGGTACTATTTCACAAGTCACAAAACAAGTTACATTATAGACTTCATAATTTGGTATTTCATTTTAATTTAGAAAAACCATTTCTAATACTCATTTTGACAGAATACAGAATTTTATAGTCCTACAATGATGAGTCATTCCAAGGATATAGTTTAAAAAAAGCTTCTCAAAGTAGATTAATAGTGGTTTTAGGAAAAGATGATTTGGCTCTTTCTTTTAGTAGAGATTGTACTAGTTTGACATGGCAATACCAGACCCTTTGTCTATTTTGTGATGCATCTTTTTCATAAGAATAAAATATCCTCAATATCTCTCTGTATTTAATAGAAAATAACAACAATCTATATAGAATAATGTGTTTTACTTTTTAGTAAGTTGTATGTATTTAGGTATTTTCAGGGAAAGAAGATGAAATTCAATCTGGCATATAATTAAATTAATATTACAAAAGGAATATTTCACTAAGTTACTGGAATTTTCTTTTAGCTTTTTTTTTGAGTTGGAGTCTCACTCTGTCGCCCAGACTGGAATGCAGTGGCACACTTCCGGCCACCGCAGACTCAACTGGCTGGGATCCGGTGATCTTTCTGCCTCAGCCTTCCACGTAGCCAGAACTACTGGCATGCGCTACCACACCCAGCTAGTTTTTGATTTATTGTAGAGACAAGGTCTCGCCAAGTTGCCCAGGTGGGTCTTGAACCCGCGGGCTCAGGCAATCCACTCGTCTCAGCTTCCCAAAGTGCTGGGATTACAGGCTGAGCCACCGAGCCAGGCCTCTTTTAGTTTTTAACAACTAAAAATTAGTACACTTTTATTATGGGAATATTCAATCAATGAGGAAAAAAGTAAAGGTAGATAACTGGAATGCTTCCATGTGAAAAAATATGCATAAAATAAAAAACAGATATAGTGAGTGGATTGCCTGAGCCTGTGGGTTCGAGACCCGCCTGGGCAGCGAGATCTCATCTCTACAATAAATCAAAAAAAAATCAACCGGGCGTGGTAGCGCATGCCTGTAATTCCGGCTACTTGGAAGGCTGAGGCGGAAGGATCACCGGAGCCCAGCAGGTCGAGGCTGCGGTGGCCAGGAGTGGCCACTGCACTCCAGTCTGGGCGACAGAGTGAGACTCCAACTCAAAAAAAACCCCCCAAAATAAAAAAACAGATATAGATTGAGGGCAATGTATAATTGACAGTAATTTTATAATTCTTTAATCACTAAGAAACTCCAATTATTTCCTCATCCATGTTGTAATTTAAATATTTAGGAAACAGCATGAGCTTTTCACTGTCATGTTATAAACATTTTCTTAGTGCACCTTCTATTTCACAAACTGAAAGTGTATATATAGCTTAACAAGACCACTGGGAGAAAGGAAAGCCCAATTCCCTACTGAAGTAAAATAAATACTGTTCTATCTTCTGATCAAATATATTTATATGAGTTTGATGTGATATCACAATTGTAATAAACAAAGTGTAAAAACCACACACCAAAAGGTATGATGCTATGGATATTATACTAGCAATACTCCTAATAAGGCTTTCCAAAATAATCTTGAAAAAGCAAATAATAACACTAGTCTTAAGTCAGTTTATTGTAAACACATCCAAACAGAAACTGGAAGAAGAGAATTATAACTTTGAAATAAGTCTGCCTCACAGAAAAAAACAGAGCGCTCAAAAACAGATCCAAACAGATAGGATAATCTGATTTGTGATAAGGCAAAAAACAGTATAGTGGGAAAAAGATGATCTGTTTAGTAAACAGTGCTTGGGTCAAATGGATCCCGAACTCAATCCATATACAAAAATCAATCTCAGATGAATTACAAATTTAAATGATGGCATGGTAAAACAAAAAAGATGTTTAGGAAAAAATCATAGGATATGTTTGTGACCTTGCAATAGGCAAAGATTATATTATAGTACACAAATTCAACCTAGACAGTAATAAAGCCCTCCTACTAATCAAAATGGCAAGGACAGCCAAGCCAATACAAAAATAAGCAAAATATCTACACAGACACACGAGAGGCTATTCAAATGACCAATAAACATATGAAAAGGCATTCAGCATTTTCAACAGTAATCAGAGAAATGTAAATTCACATGAAATATAACAACTAGAATGGCTACAAGTAAAAAGACACAAAATACTGAGTACTGACAGGACATGGAACACTGGAACTCTTATGTACTGCTCATAACACTGGCGGTACAGATGGGAAATGTATACGGCAGTATCTAATAAAACTGAATTCATGTATATCTTGTGATATAGCAGTTTCATTCATTAGTACATACTCAATAGAAACATGCACTTATTTCATAAATCATAAGACAGGTACCAGAATGTTCACAGGCATACTATTCATAATACAACAAATTGTGCTATATTTACAAAATGGAATACCATAAAGTCACAAGACGGAAGAAACTAAAATCACATAGAGTAACATGGAAGAATAACACAATTTGATCAAAAAAAGCCAGACTTTAGTGCACACCTTACAGTTTCATTTATATAAAGTATAGAAGCAGGGCAGAAGTTAGAATAGTTATTATCCTCAGTGGAGGAGAGGGTCATGACAGAGAGAGAGCATGATGGGATTTCTGGTATACTGGCAATGTTCTGTGTACAAAAATTCATCAAACTTAACGCTTACAGTATGTGCACATTAATGGTATATATACATTTTATACTTCATTAAAAAGTTAAAACGACCTGCCAAGTATGATTTAATTCACAACTGAATACTACTACAAATAAAAGTAACTCACGTTATCATCAAGTTGAGCTGAGACTCGACAATGTTCAGGGTCTGAATCAGTCTTCGGAATTAAAGGAGGCACCTAAAAAAAACCCCCACAAAGTAAACACACTCAATAAAGCAGAAAAATAAACCAAAATGAGTATTAGCATTTGATCTGATTTTTGGTACAAGATATAAGCAAAGTTTAACAATCTAAAATTTGATAGTAAATATAAAAAGACGATTTCATTACCAAAAGGTTTTTATCCTTTAAAAAAGAATTGACTTTTGCCGGGCTCGGTGGCTCAGCTTGTAATCCCTGCACTTTGAGAGGCCAAGGCCAGTGGACTGCCTGAGTCCACGGATTTGAGACCAGCCTGGGCAACTTGGCAAGACCTTGTCTATACAACAAATAAAAAAAAATTAGTTGGGCATGGTAGCGCACGCCTGTAGTTCTAGCTACTTGGAAGTCCAAGGCGGATTGCCGGAATCCAGCAGATCGACGCTGGGGTGACTGTGAGCATGTCACTGCACTCCACCCAGGGTGATGGAATGAGACTCCAGCTCAAAAAGAAAAAGACAAAAGAAGCATAGATACATTTTGGGCAACCGCCCTCGGGTCCTCTCCAACTGTGGGAGCTTTTCTGTCTTCTTAATAAATCCTGCTTTTAAAAAATAAAAAAAAATTGACTTTAGAGATGGAAAGGGAGATTACTTAGTCAATCTCCCATACTTTTAAAAAGAATTTCAGGCTAATAAAGTTTAAATGACTTGAAGACCAAATATTCATGCACAGCATAACAACATTTTGGTTAACAGTGGATTATAATATGATGGTGGTCCCATAAGATTAAAACACTACATTTATCCTGTACCTTTTCTACGTTTAGATATACAAATGCTCACCAATACTGGATATTAGTGGTCCATAGTATCTAATACATTAGCATGCTGAACAGGTTTGTGGCCTAGGAGCCAAAGGCTCTACCCTACAGCCTAGGTGTAGAGTAGGCTATACAGTCTAGGTCTGTATAAGTACACATGATGTTCTCACAATGACAAAACCTAATGACACATTTCTCAGAATGTATCCTTGTTGTTAAGCGATGCATGACAGTAGTCTGTAGCACAGCTAGGGAAGAGAACGCCAATCTTCTTACTTTTACCATTAAGAGCTTTTGATAGTATGTTAATAGGTTTAAGAAACTAACCAATTATAAGATAAGTTAAGAGGAAAGAAAAACAGAAAAACCAGTGTTAGCTAGAAATCACTTGTCAGCACCGGAAGTACCATCAAGATTACCTATTTTAATCTCCTCATATTACTGGTAAAGAGAAGAAGCCTGGAAAAGTTCAAGTTCAATGACTTTTGTACAGTTATATGAGTAGTTAACATCATAGAGGCAGTACCGAACAAATCCTCATTTCAGTGTTGGTATACTTCCCCAAAATGAGGTATCAGTGAAAGTATGAGAATTAATAGAAAAGTACAACTTACACATAGTGTTGTAGGAGTGGTCTCTTACATTAAAGAAAACCTATTCATTTATATATATTTTCCCTTCATTTAAACATGACCTATCAAATAAAAAGTTCTAATAACTTCATGTTTTATTTTATAGCCTTGATCTCACAGTCATAAATAACTATGTTAAAATTATTTTTAAAATGTAAAGTAGGAATGCAATAAACCACACAGTCTAGTTCCTTCATCTACTAATACTTTTTCTCTCTTTGATTTGGTAATCACTTCATCATGTGAATCAGGAGAGATAAGACTTTATGTTTCCTGAGTGAATACCTGCATGCCTCAGGTGCACAGCAGCACTTACTTGTTGGATAATAAATTTAATAGTATTTAGGACTAAAAATGGCATAATGGAACAAAACAGTACAAAAATGTTAGTTTTCTTAATTTTAAATATTTTTTAAATGGATTTTAAAACTCTACTACAGCAGAGACTGATGAGTGACTGGATTTTATAGTATCAGCTTCTGACAAGACCTTATTCACTTTAGTTTTTCATTCTTTATGAGATTATTGTCTAAAGAACTTTGAAAAGAAATAAGATAAAGGAAATAGGGCAAAATTAGGTAGGAACTCAATACATCTCAGTTGACTTAACAATTTGCTTTAGATATTACTGAAAATGTCTTCTTACCTTGAAAAATGATTGCTTTATGTCTTGACCTAATCTTTCTGACATTTTGCCCATGTTGTCTGACATTTTAGTCATTCCCTCTGCCAAGCTATCAGGAAGGGATTTAACTGCATTTGATACATTCCTCATAGAATTTCGAAGTGGATTTACAAAAGTGTCCATCTAAAGGGAAAAAGATACCATGACTTCATTGTATCAAATTTGTTATTCAAATGAGAAGCCTGGGAAAATACAGAGTGCAACACCTGAAAGATGCAGTAATGTCTTATTACATCGTTGCATTTTAGAAACCTTGTCTTCAGTGTGTCTTAAGAAGTGGCTCAGCCTGTAATCCCATGCTTTGGGAGGCTGAGGTGAGTCCGAGACCCACCTGGGCAACTTGGAGAGACCTCATCTCCACAATAAATCAAAAATTAGCCGGGCGTGGTAGCACACGCCTGTAGTTCCAGCTACTTGGAAGACTGAGGCGGAAGGATCGCCGGAGCCCAGCAGGTCGAGGCTGCGGTGGCCAGGAGCGGTCACTGCACTGAAGTCTGGGTGACAGAGTGAGACGCCAACTCAAAAAAAAAAAAAAAAAGAAAGTATTTTCATATTCACATATGATTTAAAAATTGGACCGATGAGATTACTATTAGAAAATAGTAGAGATTAAGCTTAGGCTGCCTTCTTATTAAAGACATTATGAGTAAAAAAGTTTTTCATAACAGAAATTGATGCAAGTAGCATTAGCCACTACATACTTCCGTCACAATCCAAGGGAAAAATTAGGAATTTTGAGTGGATATTGAAAAGAAAACAAGCAGATAAAATAAACAGAAAGCTGAAATAATAAGTATTTAAGATTTATTTTTAAAAAATAATTTTCAGGATGCATTATGTGCTCATTTAAAAAATCTATGGAAGGAATTTGGAGTCTATTACAAAGAAGGGGAAAAACTTGCAAATCAGACATGGAAATAATATTTTTTTAAAAATTTATTTATGTACTCTAGAGTTGTGGGGTACAAGTGAGGATTTACTACATAAATTGTCTGTATGCAGATGAATAGATTACATTTTAGTAAGGCAAAATATAAAAAAGGGGGATATCTAAAGTAACCACAGTAACTGCACATGGGACTCTGAAAGATGTTTAACAAAAATTAAGAAATTAAAAAAAAAAAAACACAAAACCAAAGTCATACAAATTATAAGAATATTCCCCAGAAAGTGATGGACCTCATAAAAGCCACCAAGGAAAACAAATTATGTTTCATGCAAAAAGAACAAAATAATAGCAACAAAACTAAACCTCAAAAAACAACAACAACAAAACTAAACCTAACTGCTAAGAAAACATAGACAGCCAGGCTCGGTGGCTCAGCCTGTAATCTCATGACTTCGGGAGGCTGAGGTGAGTGGATTGCCTGAGCCCGTGGATTCGAGACACGCCTGGGCAGCGAGACCTCATCTCTACAATAAATCAAAAAATCAGCTGGGCGTGGTCGCGCATGCCTGTAATTTCGGCTACTTGGAAGGCTGAGGCGGAAGGATCGCTGGAGCCCAGCAGGTCGAGGCTGCGGTGGCCGGGAGCGGCCACTGCACACCAGTCTGGGCGACAGAGTGAGACTCCAACTCAAAAAAAAAAAAGGGAAAAAAAGAGAAAAGATAGACAATGTTAATAGATAATAACAAAAGAAGTCCTTCACTCTAATTACGTTTTCATGGTTTCCATACTTTAAAGAAACAGAAAAGGTGAAATTAGTTTAACAAACAGTGCTGGGAGTTTTAGTTACTCCCCGGCTTAAGCTGAGCTAATAGTACTGCAGATATGCTTGATGGACAATCCAACCTTAGGAGGAACTATCAGAATACAACTGAGAGTAGAATCAAAGGACAGATACCAGAAGGAATAAGGATTGGAAAAAGACTATCACTGGTGAAGAGAGATATGAATATAAAAAGATGAAGTTAATTTTCATGTGTGACTAATAACTATTGTGTGTGTGTGTGTGTGTGTGTGTGTGTGTGTGTGCATGTATATAATTCTAATTGTATACATTATAGTTTCTAGTCAACCAGAACAGTGTTTTCAAATCAATCAGGACTTTATTTCTAACACTGGCCTTTTAAAAAAATATAACTGTAATGACATTACAAGTAAGCTAAGTCATGAGAACACAATGTATGTAGAATTCCAAAGAGAGATAAGCATGACAATATTTAAAATGTACCGATTGAGGGCAAAATGCTGCCTCTCTAATAAGTTACAAATGTTCACAGAAGAGATAAAATTTAGGCCAGGCACAGTGGCTTAGCCTGTAATCCCAGCACTTTGGGAGGTTGAAGCAAGAGGATTGCCTGAGCCTGAAGGTTCAAGACCAGCCTGGGAAACCTGGTGAGAACTCATCTCTACAATAAATCACAAAAATTAGCCAGGCATGGTGGTGTGCATCTGTAGTTCCAGTTACTTGGAAGGCTGAGGTGGAAGGATCGCCTAAGCCCAGCAGGTCGAGGCTGTGGTGGCCATGAGCATGCCACTGCATTCCAGCCTGGGTGACAGAATGAGACTCCAATTAAAAAAAAAAAAAAAAAAAAATTCAGATATGTAAAAGACATGAATTTCACTTTAATTCACAACCTAAGTTAAAAATGTTGAATATCCTCAAACATGTTTTAGAATTTTATACATCTTATGCTTCACAGTAAGAGTTTGAGTTTAGCAAATATGACTTATAAGTTAGTTGCATTAATTCTATCTCACATGCTATCTAGGCATGGGACTAAACTACTACTGATGCTCTTTTAAGAGAAAAGAATCTAAATCTATACAGTGAATTAGTTAATAATTAAAAAAAGTTTCTGTGTACCATCCCAGACTCACAAAAACAACTTTTCCCCCAATTTTCTGAGGGTAAAGCCCAGGCATCTGTTTCACTAGGAAACTGGAGAAGGGGGAATGAGAAAATGTCCACAGGTAACTCAGATGCCTTAACCCTGAAAGATGTAAGATTTTATAAGCATAAAAGCAAAGTTCATCACTGCATAACACTTCTAAAAATATCTGCCTTAAAGTAGATGCTTAGAAAGGAAAAGAACTTTCAAATTACCAGACACAGCAGTAAATTACAAATTGCCAGCAGAAATGCACACATCACCCAACTTACACAGATGCTGTCCATTCAATCATCACCGCAGTTGGGTTATTTGTATTGTTAACATGCACGATGGAATTTTAACTTAAATTTAGATCTCTAGCTATAGCTTAAAATGTCTTTGCATCATAATGAACTGGATAGAAAGATACTGTGTGCATAGAGGAAGGCTGCTTGTCAGTTACTCTACCTAGGAACTGTTCCACAGAGTTTTGCAAAGCTAGGAAACAATTATGTGACCAAATTAAAGTGTCATAAAGTATTATTTTTCAAGCTCTGAATAACCACTGATAAAATGTTCGCAAATGATTTCCTCTAATAGCTATTTAATTTTCAGCAATATAAGAAAAAATTAAACTATAATTTAGCCAAAAAGAAAATGTCATTGAAAACCCCAAATTCTTGATATGCATAAAAATTATTCTGACACTCTAAAAGAAGCCAAGATGACCTTTAGGATTGCCAATATGGTTTATAAAAAACATGTTTTTGTGGATTGCTAGCAATGATCTAGAAGAATTGTTAGACACCAAAAGTAATTGTTTAAAAAAAAGTAGTATATAAATATTTGAAAATATATACTTGACACTGTTGGTCAAAAAAAAGTGTAAATTCTATATAATGTTTCTTTGATCTAAAAAGCTATTATCTGTTTATAGGTTTATCTTAAAATTGATAAAATCTCAAAACAGAGGAAATAAGATAAACATCCAAAAGACAGAAGACTGAAATGCATTTCTACTGACAATCAAACTATTTAAAGTTGGAATTTAGCCAGGCTCAGTGGCTCAGCCTGTAATCTCAGCGCTTTGGAGGGCCGAGGTGAGTGGATTGCCTGAGCCCGCGGGTTTGAGACCCACCTGGGCCACTTGGAGAGACCTCATCTCTACAATAAACCAAAATTTAGCTGGGAGTGGTAGCACACGCCTGTAGTTCCAGCTACTTGGAAGGCTGAGGCGGAAGGATCGCCGGAGCCCAGCAGGTCGAGGCTGCGGTGGCCGGGATCGGCCAAAAAAAAAAAAAAGTTGGAATTTAAACTCAATTATTTCAATCATAAAATATACAGATATTTTCATATCCCCCCCCCCCCACCACCACCACTGTCAGGTCGGTCCTGAAACTTGTTATTAAAACAAAACATTCAATTTAGAAATGTTATCATCCATTAGGACATTAAAATCCTGCATTACTGATCATATGAACTTCTTGTACCTAAAATTGTTAATTCTGACTTATTTTGTACTAATTCCTTCATTTTTGTAAAAAAGTTAGTCTTTTAGGGAGAGCAGTAAAGGTGGGGAAGTCCTTTTTAAATTTTCATTTTGAAATAATTTAAACATATAAAAAGTTGTAAAAATAATGCAGAGTTTTGCATACCCTTCACCCAGCTCCCCAAATGCTGCTGCTGAAGCTCCCATCACCACTGCTACTAAGAGCAAGCACTAATTCAGAAGTCATTTGCCAGGAACTGTAAAACACAGACTACTGCATGATTCACACAGTGCTCTGAAATGAGGATTAACATCTTCATTTCTTGAGGAATCTAAAGCACTAAAGGTTCAATAATATGGTCATCAGTAACAAGTGACCAGTAACAAGTTCACAGCTAGTAAATAGCTGATTAGGGATTGGAACAAAAGGTTGTATGATTTCAAAGCTTGTGTTCTTACCCACTAAGCTATCCAGCCCAATGTGAGCACTAAAATCATTTACTGTCTGAACCTAACATCTTATTCCAAATATAGGTCTTGTATCCTATTTCAAATTGTTCAAAATTTTTTAAATAATAAAGATTTTACTCAGATGGCATAAATACTTTCAGAACACATTCTGTTTAATACTTTCTTACCCTTACCTTATCCTGTAAAAGACACTTCTTCCCAGTAAGAAACATTTCCTTCCCAAGAAAATGAAAGATTTGTGACCTGCGTTAGACAAACTCAGTGCACTATTTCAAAAGGTTTTTATTCCTTCTTTCAAGCGTCTGCTGGATTATAATCTAAATGTAAAGACAGGAGTTTATACATAGATACTCCTCCTATCAATAGTGATAAACATGCCAAGGAGATTTTAATAAAATTTTGTGCCTTTAAAACAAACATATAGCTCTAAATTTATTTTATTAAAAACAATGTACCTAAAAAGAAACCCAAAGCAATGATCTGCTTACCTTGCGAGCAAAATCCCCCTTTCCTTTACTGTAGGCTTTGTTCTCCAGGAAGTCATACACACAGTGCGCCAAAGCTGGGGAGGCTTTCATCATTTCAGGAGTTAACAGTAACTAACAGGGAAAAAGAGATATATCTTTAGCTGATACGATGCCAAAAATTAACTGTTTATAATTTCAGTCCATGAAAAGTTAAGAATGTATAGTAAAGAATTTTAAGTTTTTAAAAAAGTATACTGCTAAAATCACCAATAATTTTATGACAATTAACAGTTTGATGTATATTCTTTCCATCTGCTATTTTGACTTTCAGTGCATCTAATGTTGTTTGAATACACTATTTCAGGCCTTATACCTTATACTAAGAAGATTCATATTAGAAAATTCTTATGTTATTTGCACATTAATTATAGAGCTAACATTAAACAGAAGCAGAGTTTTATGAAATCAAATCCATAAAATAACTTAAACAAAACTTGTTCTCTAAGAAACAAGGTTTTTTGTTTTTTTTTTTGAGTTGGAGTCTCACTCTGTCACCCAGACTGGAGTGCAGCGACACGCTCCCAGCCATCGCAGCCTCGACCTGCTGGGCTCCGGAGATCCTTCTACCTCAGCCTTCCAAGTAGTTGGAACTACAGGTGCGTGCTACCATGCCCAGTTAATTTTTTGATTTACTGTAGAGATGACGTCTCACCAAGCTGTCCAGGTGGGTCTCGAACCCGCAGGCTCGGGCAATCCACTCACCTCAGCCTCCCAAAGTGCGGGATTATAGGCTGAGCCACTGAGCCCGGCTAGAAACAAGTTTTAACATATCCAACTTTATTAGCTAAGACAATACAGTGACATTTTAAAAATACATTATAACGCCAGATTTGGAAAAGGGGGATTATTTTCTAAAATCTTATAAACGATACAGATATTGATGGAACTGACGTTGGCCCTTAAAAAAGTACAAATGTTTGATAAGGGTCATACAAATGATATCAGACATCCAGCTTGAAGCCAGGAGAAGACAAAGGCAAATAACATCATAGATGTATGTGTTTTTGCTATCCTTTCAGTACATAATAATAACATGGAATTACAATATAGCTAAAAATAAATCCAATCAGTTACAAAAATTTAAGAGAGAAAACCTTCCAAACAAAATACCCAGTACGTGTATAATCTAAGTTTCACTACATTCAAAGGCAAAGGTCAACAAACTTTTTCTACAAAAGGTCAGATAGTAATTATTTTAGGTTGCGTGGTCCATAGAGTCCTTGCTGTAACTACTCAACTCTACTGTTTGCAAAAGCAGCTAAAGAAGATATTAAACCAAAGGGGTGGTTGTGCTCCAATACAGCTCTTAGTGAAAACAGGTGGGAGGCTGGATGTCGTCTGCAGGCTGTAGTTTACTGACCCTTGTTGCAGAGGATGGGGAGCTAAATAATGAAACAATATAAACACATGCTGATGCCTTGTCTAATAAATGAGAAAACTTAAGTCATTAATTAGTACAAAAAACCATCACTTGTTGTTGTTATTGTATGTGGCACCTAGGTACTCAAGTCTAAAACAAAGTTATTATTGGGAGTTTTAACAGTTGATGCAATAAGTAACTTTTAAGACGTGTTTTGTTATTCCACAACAGCAAACTATATGCCCTAGATGCTACACATTACAAATGGTCCTCTCTTGAATTATTCTATAATTTTAGAAGCCTTAGAATCATTCTGGACCATGGGAGGCAGCTACACACATTTGACTGGGAATAGAACTCTGTTAGCTTTTGATATACTAACTGGAAACACTTAACTATCTAGTCTACCATAAAATACCTAGACTTTACAGTAACCTGAAATGGGTATTTGTGTATGTATATGTGTACATATCTAAATGTGAACAAGCAAAATCTCTAACACTGAGTATCCAGAAAACTTCTAAGTTAATCAATAAGCACAGAAATAATAGTTATAAATTACCAAGCAGACTGTATATCACAAGCTCAAAAGTGGCAGCTATCCCATTATTACAATAAAAACATTATCTAATAAACAAATCCGTTGTACCTGTGTGATACATCAAGTGTAACTCTATGGACAATAATAAACACGAACTTACCTGCAAATATGCATTTAGATCCTTTTTTCTCTTTTCTAAAAAATCTCTATCCATATTATTAAAAGTCTTTTTACCAGGAAGCTTCAGTATGCTTGATAGATTTTCAAACTTTAAAATAAAATACATTCAAGAGTACTTAGTTTTTCAAAAAAGACAAAAAAATTTCCCAAGTGACAATTTCTCTACACATAAAACAAATCAGTAGATAATTTTATATTTTATATTATGCAAAAATCAGAAAATAAACATTATCGTCAAAATATACCCCCAAACACAGCTCTAATGTTATGTTATAAAAAGTATTTTCAATCAAGAATGACCAATTTCGATAACTGATGAAGATGAGTATTGATGCAGAGTTTCATTCTAATAGTCTCTCTAATTTTCAGATTGTTCAAATTTTCATAAAAAAAAGGCTTAAAATATTTTCCTTAACAACCCTTTGGCATGAATAAATTACTGGCAAATAAAACTTTTAATCAAAATTATATGTTCCTTGCTTGTTAAAAAATCAAATAAAGAAGCATTTTTTAATATTAATAACTTCAATTAATCCTCACAATAGGTAATTATTAAGAGGAGAAAAGGCAAATTTTAAAATAAAGACAGTGCTATATTAAAACTCCATATAAGCTATAATAAACACTGATACCTCTGCCCCATCAGCCACATTAAAAATAAGCTTATAGATTACACCAACGACAATAAAAAGTTAAGAGCCATCAGCAATATTTTGTCTTTGTAAAGCCACAAAGTAAATATACACACTGTAAGTCTAGATTCTACACACTTAACATTTGGGTACATCTTCAAAGTTTCATGATAGTAATTTGTTAAACTTTGCTAAAATACAGATTATTAACCATACAAGCTGCTAACATAGTTTAAGAGCAATGCCATTTAGCTAGTGCCTGCATCTAGCCAACAGCCTAGTGCCTGAAATTTCAAGCAGCCTCATTGCTTTGCCCAAGTGATACATACCCTAAAGTGAAACAAACTTTTAAAAATCATTATTTGTTTAAAACAACAATGTCTCTATAAAGAAAATGAATACCTGGTTCAAAAATTAAAGAGAAGAAGAAGTAAAGACAATTAGGATAACTTTCCATCCCAAAACTAAAAGATTCTGGCAAATTTTTAAATAGAGTAAGAAATCGGATGGGTGTTTAGAGCTAAACTGTGAACAAGTTCATTATACATTTCATATGAAATGCAAAAGTAGTTCTTTTGCTCTAATAATGGCAAGAAAAACAAAAAAGGGCAGAGGGAATAACAGAAAACATTATGCTATAGTGATATATTCACAATTTGGTGCTTCACAAAAGTATCAGAAATGGGTCTTCAATGAATGTCCAATGGAGAGTACCTGTTTATATAAATTACATTCTTTAAAAAAAAAAAATCATACTTTTGGAAACAAATTTACTTTTCCAAAAAGTAAATTTTGGATATCCTAATAGATATTTAATTTCTTGCAATATTATTTATTCACATTATCTTAAACAACTGACTCACTTTTAGATAATACATAGTTTATTCTGGCATTACCAAGTATTATGGGCCTAAACTGTATTTCCCCCAAATTCCTATTTTGTTAAAGCCTTAACCTCTGTACCTTAGATTGCTCCTACATTCAGAGACGTGCCTTTAAAAATGTGATTAAGTTAAAATGAGTCCCTGAGGGTGGGCTCTAACCCAATCTGACTAGTCATTTTTATAAGAGAAAATCTGGACACACTAAGAGACACCAGTAATGCATAAACACAGAGAAAAGATCATGTGAGGACACAGCAAGAAAGTGGCCTTCATAAGCCAAGAAGAGAGGTCTCACAAGAAACCAAACTTGCCAACACCTTGATCTTGAACTTCTGGCCTCCAGAACTATAAGAAAATTAATTTCGGTTGTTTAGGTCACTCAGTGTGTGGTGTTATGGCAACCCTTACAAATTAATATGCCAAGGGAATACGACAGTATCCATTAAACCACAATTTATTTCAGAAACTTTAAAATTTTAAATTTTATTCATAAAAAATTAAACATCACAACATAGTTTTCTTAAAGTCTAAATCATCAAAACAAATCCATTGTTAAGTTATCTGTCTAGAAGAAAAATACAAATCACTAGACAGTTTTCTCAAACTATCAACATAAGAGAAAAATGGGAAATTTTATACTCAATATTAATTCATTATAAGCTTGTTATTTATTATTTGTAAGTACAAGCAAAAGGTAGCCCATTTCCTAAAAAGTAATATAATTCTCTCTGCCAAAAAGTCATAAAGATATTTTTAAAGACCTGTAAAAAAATTAGAAATTTACCCTAAAAACTCACAAATATTAAGTGGGATTGGCAGCTGAGGGAAACTGCTAGGGGAGGGAGGGGCATACCTCATCAACAAGGGTACCTGCATGATCAATGTTTATATACCTAACCCTGAATTGTATCCCACATCTTAATAATAAAATTTTTTTTAAAAGAGTATTTCAATATTTACAAAGAACTCAAATACTACATATAAATCACAGACATTCCAAAATAAAAATCTTATTTTTCTGCATTAAATCAATCAGGCTTAGATTCCTAATACAGTACTGTAAACTTTATAGAGCAAGTTTAAAATTTTGTATTGAAAGAGTTCAAAACTTTTCAAATATAGGCACATAACTTTTACTCAGTTATCCTAATGAATACTTAGCATTGTCACTAGTATTTTAGCCATAATTATGTAGATTTCACCCAATAAAACAGAAATCACTGTAGTTAGTGGAATATAAGATCCTAGAGGCGAGGACTTGGCCAGTCTTGTTCCCTGTTATGTTGCTAGCATCAAGAAGCATGCCAGTCACACAGGAGAAGCTCAATAAATATTTGCTGAATAAATGAATGAGTTTAGGCCATTTCTAAAATAATATAACATTTACTATCTTAATTATTTTATTTTAATCTTTATAGGTCTTCTCCATAAAAATACCAAATTAGACTATTAAAAATATTTAAATAAAATAAATGATAGTTCATATATTTCGGCTGGGAAAAAGTTTTTATCACAAAATTAAATAAGCAAAATGAAACCTGTTTTAAAATAATTTTACTTTAAGAGCTCTATGGAATTCACATTTATTCATGTCAGCAGACTGCTGTTATCAACTGTTGAATTACAAGTCACTGTCTTTTTCTTCCATTCTTTTATAAGAGATTTGAGATTTAAAAACAAAGATATGGCAAAACTACAAGGCAAACAGCCTAAGTCTTTATTTACAAAATGCTTAATATTTTACTAAAACCTAATTTTCATTTAAAAGCTAAGTTTTTAATCTCTCAAGCACTATGAGCAATCCAAACAATTAAATGACTGCAACTACTGTGACGTGATAAGAAACACCAAGTCAAAACATGTCCACTTTACCTGCACTGAGTTGTGTGAAAAAGGAATTGTGCTGTATCAATTTCATTTAATTTTGGGTGCTAAATTTAAAAGGGAAATTTCTGTATAACTGCCCTCTTAACAAAGCTCTTTTTTTTTTTTAAATAAAAAATATGTTCTTCAATTATATTTGGTCAGTATGTAAAATATTATGTTCTTCACTTATATTTGGTCAATATGTAATGTTTCCAGTATTAGTCTAGAACATTTAAATTAGGCAATGATTATTCCTCTTAATACTAGAAAGAAAATTACAACTATTAGCACAAAGAAAATTTCCATTAAACCAAATTCTCAGTAACTTGCAAGTAAATAAAACTACTCAAAGCAATTCAAATTATTTTTAAAATCATCATGTTTGGTTAAAGTGGAAGTATGAAAATAAAGAGATAAATGAGCTATATGCTTTTAATACAATAACCAGGCTGGGCTCGGTAGCTCAGCCTGTAATCCCAGTACTTTGGGAGGACGAGGCGAAAGGATTGCCTGAGACTGCGGATTCGAGACCCACCCAGAAAACTTGGCAAGACCTCGTCGCTACAATAAGTCAAAAAAAAAAATTAGCCAGGCGTGGTAGCACATGCCTGTAGTTCCAGCTATTTGGAAGGCTGAGGCAGAAGGATCACAGGAGTCCAGCAGGTTGAGGCTGCAGTGGCTGGGAGCGTGCCACTGCCCCCTAGCCTGGGTGATAGAGTGAGATTCCAACTCAAAAAAAAGCAATACCAAACAGGTAATATTTGCAAAAGTACAGCAAATATTTCTTCAACGTGGGTCAGAAAACTCTTTCACCTTTGCAAACAAATCAAGCTAAACATGAAGATCTAGTCAAAAAAGAACAAACACCAGACATGTCCACAGTTAGCTTCCTTATGAACATAATTCAAAATAGTGCTCTTAATATAGGCTTCAGAAGTCAACACTAACCTGTTTTTAATACCTTTTAAACTATTAATAATTTATCTCATTCTATCCACAAAATATTTTAATAAAATTAACATAGTGTCAACCATATTTTTTTCACTATCTTAGGTGAAAAAAGATACTTTCTGATTTCTAAAGTAGTACAATGTCATTTCAAAGCATTAGTTTATGCAATCAGATGTCACCCTTATTATTTTTATTGTTTTAATGGTAGTTATATACCTAAAAACTTGGAATTAATCAAAAGACTTTCAAGAGTTAAATTTTATATGAAAATTACCTATTCCAAGTCATCTGGTGATATTTTATTTTCTTCTAAGTTGGTAAGCTAAAGTATTTAATATAAAAATAGGACAGGCATACCATCTACAAATAGAGTATTACTGTTTCTTTAACAATTCTTATATCTCTGATTAAATTACCTAATCTCATTTCATTGCCTAGCTCCTCTAGTAAAATGTTGAATTGTAGCAGAGATAGCAAACATTTTCATTTTTTGTTCCTAATCTAGAGATGTCTCTAGTATTTCTTCATTAAGATGCTGGCTTAGCCAGAAAGAAGGACAAAATTATGAACTTCATGGCAACTTCGATGGACTTAGAGTCTAAAATACTGAGTGATCTATCACAGAAACACAGAACCAAGTATCACATGTTCTCACTCATAAGCGGACCTTGAACAATTATCGCAATACTGTAAGAAAAGGATTGGCGGTAGCGGGGAAACTGCTGGGGGGGTTGGGAAGAGCGGTGTTGGGGGAAAGGGAGGTGGGATTGGCAGTAATGGAAATTTGCCAGGAGAGGGGGGACATACCTTATCAACAAGGGTACCTGCATAATGAACATTTGTATACCTAACCCTGAATTGTAACCCAGATCTTTAAAATAAAAAAATTTTAAAAATAAAATAAAATAAACATAGGACAGGAAATAATTTATCTACATTTGTTATCATTAAGTGGTCTTTATAGTTACTTGTGTAAAACAAGAGGGCTGTATTTAGTAAGAATTAAAAAATATTTCCTGGTTAATATTAAATTTATTTTAGACTGTATTTCAAAATAATTTAAGTAACAAATCAAATATTCAATGGTTATACTGTTGAATGAGGCTGCCATTTAAAATAACAGCTTTAAATTTATGACTCCAAAAACAGGAGCACAAAATGTTTTATAGCAATCGCATCTTCAACTAAACTCAGGTACCTCTCTGCAAAGCCCCCCCCACTTTTAAATCAGAAATATAAATTTATTTTTATTTTCCAAGGTATACCATTAATATTTTGTCAGCAGTACAATGGTTAGGACTGGCTCAGGTACTCAACATTTGATTTATTGGTTAAATGCTCCAATTCATTCATTCTAAGATCTATGCTGATTATATGAAAAATTCGTAATTTATTTCTTTTGTTATCTTTGGTCAGAATCTGAACACTCTCAGAACTACTTAGAATAAAAATCAAATCAAGAAACAATTTAAAGTATACAAGTTTTAAAAACCCCTTACCTGTTCAGTGATTCTCATGTGGAAGTCATGGAAGTCACTGTAACGACGGTAGGTTTTCCACACCTCCTCACTGTTTAGATTGCGCCGGTGTACGGTGATGGCATATAAAGCATATGTCTTGCCATGGTCATTACAAACGCCTGCCACAGCATATGGGTCATAGTCAGCATATACTAGTCATTTAAAATGAAATGAAGAGGAACAAAAGACACAAAAAGGAGGAAGATGAAGAACAAAAACAAACAAAAAAGACAACATGAAATGAAGATGAATCCGAAATGACAGACTGGGACAAAAGGATGTCACCAAAGAATAAAACAGATTCCAATCCTCTATACGCACATCAATAAGGTATTACATACAATGGCCATAATACACACTAAACTCGAAGTTTATGACGACACCATGAACCATAATGTGATGTCTACTATGGATTCTTTCTCTTCCCAAAGAGCTTTTATCTATCATTAGTGACATTACCACACTATCACCTCAGAGTGTTGCATTACAGTTTCTTACATGTAACAGAGAAAAAAATAGCAAACAAAAAGAATAACCTTTCAAAATAGCCTTCACTATTCAGTTGTAATATAATTAAAATCTATTCCACCAAACAGACAGCAAAAGCAACAGGATAAGATTTATATTATGGAAATTATTTCTTTGATAATATTCAACAATTCACAAGTGCAGATTATTCTGAGGATTTTTTTTAACCATTTTGCTACTGGTTTGCCACATACCATCCAAATCAGGTAGTCTTCAAAATCAAAGCCTGCTCCCATTTTGTACTAATCTTAAGTAAGGAGATGCACTTTCAATCATTTTTTTCTAACTTATCTTCCGGGTTTTCCATTTCTTTATCTTGCTGTGCTCTATTCTACCCTAAGTCAGGTCTCCAAAAGTTTGTTGAGTCTCTCCTCATCTGTAATCTGTTTCTCAATTCATCCTCTAACCTTAATTTCAATCACTGTATTTTCTTTATTTCTAGAGTTTTACCTGGTTCTTTTCCCATGTTTATTCTTGTCTTAGGTTTTATCTCTATCAGTATTTTTAACATACTTAAAGTCTATTAAGATTGCCATCTCCAAGTTCTTACGATGCAAATTACCTAATTTTCTTGCTCTGCTCACTCTCCCTATTGTGGTTCATATTTCTTCCTGTGTCTTTTAATTGCTTTTTGTAGGCTCATTTTCAGCAGGTGTTGTTTCTCCCTGGGTGTTATGAGTGTCCTGAGCCACAGAAGCATTCACACTGAATAGTGTCACCACTCTAATCATTGGTTTTAGTGGCTCAGAGATAATTTTAATATTAACTCTGGCTCAGGACCCTGTGGTATACAATCACTTGGGGACAGCTAAATGCAGACATATCCATGATGGAACACAGCTGGTCTTTCAATTTCTTGCGGGTAATAGATAACATTTCCAACAATGATCTGGACATTTCTTATTCCCTCTGCTGAATGTAGGCTAAGTTCTAGTTCCTCTTTCACATCAAGCTGCCCTTTGTGACTCTGGGCTTTCTGTAAGGGACTTGGTTCCAGCTTCTCATGACCCTGGTCCCATCCTGCCTCTTCAAAACTTGAGAGCACAAAAATGCTATCAAAATCAAGACAGTAGTCTTTATGCTACCACAGCCTCCTTGCTTCAACAACTCTTCACTTTCTGAATTTGTTTTTCCTCATGGTTTATGACACCCGTAGATTTTCCGTCTGCTATTTATAATGTTGTTTTCAGCCCTTCTATGTGAGGAAAGGAGGATTCCCCATAGCAGTTTAGACTACTACACTCACCAGAAGTCTAAAATTGATCTTGAAATAATAGATTACATTGATCTGTAATTGTGAATAAAAGTGGTCAAGTTTTGGAGCTAAATACTTTGCTGTTTTGTATATAACTGGGCAAAGGAAGACATCTGTAGCTTCTTAGTAAATTAAAAACATAAAAGTCAGAAATCTATACTGGCAAGAACACTCAAACAGAAACTTCCCTTAGACTTTCCTGAAAATTTTCCTAAGATCTGCACTTTCTTCTAACCGTCTGCACTTGGAGACAACTTGCAGACCACCTACCAGCAACTCGACTGCACTTTTTTATGAAATAGTAAAACGAATCACCTCATATTAAATACTATAGCGTTGGAATCAATTATTTTATTGTAATGATATTTGGCTTATAACAGAAGTTTGCACATTGAGGAACTTATTCATGCCAACAAAATTAAAATGTTAGATCTTTTATTTTTCTAAGGTATGGTAACATGTGAAACAGTCACTGACATGCATTGCAGGTTCACTGATACATGTAGTGCAGTAGTAATTTGACATCTTCCACCTGTGTTTTTCTATTCAAGCAGACAATGCAGTCTCATTTTCTTTCTCCCATATTAATAATATATAACTTATTGTTCAGTCTGTTGTTTGAAAATGATGTGAAGGGACATTATCTTTCCATGTAATGGCAACTAACTTTTTTAAACATGTATCTCAGTATATATTCTATCTCTTTACTCTTTTTTTGTGCAATTTGAATGGAAAACTTCAAGGAAATATACATTTTTGAAAAACTTGCACTGGCTTAAGTTTGTCCTGTATAATCACCAGCAGTCTCTTTATGCCCCGAGCAGGGACACTCGGGTAGTTTGCTAGATTTATGATGTCCCCTCAGAGGTGAGATCCGAGTACAAAAAGCTACAAATTGCCTTTTATTCCCTTTCCATCTAATATCACTGTTTCTGATGTGACAATATGTAAGACTAGGAATACACTTTGGTCCTCTTGCTCTACACAGAGGCCTTAAATTTAGGTAGCACTATTACTCACAATTCACCTTTTCCAATCATCTCTCTTTCAAGAGACCTAAGCAGATCAAATAGCACAACACTTTCTCATCAAGTGAGATAATCACCATTTCTCAACAGAGTTAGTTAGCATGACAACAAGGGACTGGCTTTACTGGTTGTGTCCAAGATAGGTTTAGAAATGAAAAATAGAAAGCAGAGGTCAATTAGGCATAACCAATTAGGAATTAACAAGACCCAGGAGAACAGCAAGGAACAGAAAAGAGAGAAGATAGTAATACAAGAAAGCATTCTCATCACTAATCACATTGTTTACTTTAGCCAATATTTTTTAATCCAAGATTTCTCAATGAAGGAAGAAGGACCACTCTTTGAATAGCACTGCACTAGACTGTTCCCACTTCCTGAAACAGAGATGTTAAGAACACAGGCTCTAGAAATGAAGTCCAATTGATAAAATAAATATTTATTGAACAAGCACTAATATATGATGCCTATCATGTATATTTACTAATAAAATTAGTTAATTAGTACCACAACAATCCTATGAAGGTAGGAATTATAATTATCATCTCATTTTCCTGATAAGAAAATTGAGGTACAAAGAAGTTAGGAACTCGTTCAAGTTCACCCAACTAGTGGCAGAGCTGAGGTTTGAGCCCAAGCAATTCAGTCAAATAGTTGTACTCTTAACTACTATACTATGCTGCCACTACAGGATCTATACATAAGTTTGTCTGGCAAATAATTTATTAAAAGTGTCTAGCATAGGGAGAATTGCTTGAGCCCAGGAGTCTGAGACCAGCCTGGGCAACATAGCCAGACCTCGGCTCTACAAAAAGATTTAAAAATTAGCTGGGTGTGGTGGCGTGCACTTGTAGTCCCACTTACTCAGGAGGTTGAGGTGGAAGGATCACCTAAGCCAAGGAAGTTGAGGCTGCACTGAACTGTGATCATGCCATTGTACTCCAGCCTGAGCAACAGAGTAAAACCCTGACTCAAAAAATTAAGTTAAATTTAATTAAATTAAAATGTCTAGCATGTTGCTTTCATACATTTTAAGAAGCTAATAAATATTTGTTGAATAAATGAACAAATGAACAAAGCAGCTAGAAAATTACAACTCTCAGAAGAAAGATCAATATTAGAAATATATACATGAGTGTCTTTCTTTAGATGTAAAAGTTTCAGATCTCCAAGAAATAAAAGGACAAATACTAGATGTCTGCACTTTAACAAAGGCTCTCACATTCAGAAGACAAGCTGACAAAGGACATAGACATTTTAAACGAATTTTAAAATTTAAGGAAGAAAAAATTGGAGCAATTATATCAAAGGCTAGAAAGAAAAGCAGTAAGACCTCTGAGTTTATTGATAACAACAGTGTTATTTAATGACCTTTAAAAGCAGAGCAATCTATGAACAAACTATTTGTAAAAGTTAAAGAAACAATAGAATCAGCAAGTTAGAAATAATTTATTCCACAAATCTGGCAGCAGAATGTATATTGAGACTCCAGTTCCAGCGAGAAGCTAAAGAAATATCTTTTTAAAAATGCAAATTAATATCTTCTAAGTTACATTTCTACTATAAAAATTTTCAGTATCTGAAATGTAAGCATGAAACTGAGTTGAGGTATATACACTTCAGTATTCTTACATTTCAGTATGTAATATTACAAACACTCTCCTATATAAAGAAAGATATCATTATCTAATACTCACTAGCATTGTCTAATAACTCATTGGCAGTGATGGAAACTATCAGTTGCCAAACAATCCTGCACTTATGCTGAATGATCACAAAGAATTCAGAGCTTTCTTACGCCATTAAAGCATTTTTTGAACTTCTGCAAACTCCTATACTCGGGGGCTTCATTTACTCCTGTTATCTATCTGACTTTGCATATATGAAAACAAATACTGAACTATGATTGCCCCCCAAAAGTTTAATAAGAATTATGCAGTAATCAGCTAGATTAAAGCACAAAGTAGAAAAGAAGAATTTCAGAGTTTATTAGCAGTGATGAAACACTTGGAATATAAGCATTTTCAAATGTTATCACATTTGTGACTGGCAAATTTTTCACTTTCCTAATACTGAGAGTGGGTGAAAACAAAAAAAAATCTGAAGCTGGTTGCCACAAACTTCTGTCATTAGGGACAAGTGAAATGGTCTTTTCTAAGTTATCACCTTTTTCACAATATAGCTGAAAGTTGATATGTAGCTAGTATGTGCCTCAGATAACCACTCGGACTAGCACTCCGTACTTTTATTTGTATTCAAATTATAAATCCAAAAAGACAGTCTTCCATGATGAGGTACCATGGATTCATCCAAGAAAAGTTCTTGCTCAAGTTTGTACACAGTATTCAACTTATTTAAAATATAATTTATTACAGGTTCAATTTTGCATAATCTGCATTTCTGCAGTATTGGGAAAATGCAAAAACCACAAAATGTGTAGGGGTCTATTTTGTGTCATTATTTTTGAAAAGGCATCGTCATTGATGGATGTGTTGACCAAGAATCATGTATTGCGGTTTTCTTCACTTGTCCCATCAAAATATTTAATGCTAAAATTTTTTCATCTCAGACACTGTAGTACTGCTCCACTTTTTTTATTTCTTTGGTCATTTATACCTGTAGTACATCTGATCATAATGCCTGTTAGTTGCAGTTGCGATCATTTCAATAAAATCATCTTCAGTAAAGAGTCCAACAACTTTGCTTATACCTGGAGGATCATTTGGAAATACCTTGAAACCTGGATTACCAATAAACACTTTTAAGTTTCTTTTTGGATTATATTTTGTTCACTCAATGTCTGATTTGTTCTCACCAGTACTAGATTCACTGTCATAGATTATCTGCATTATATTTCTTCATTTACATTGTATCATTACATCACTATCTGTCTTACTATCACTAATAAGTTAGCTGGATTCACCTTTGACCTCAGAAATCTCATCAGCATATATTTCTTCATTTTCCATAATTATGGCAAATTATTTTTAACGCTGAAATATGAAAACCCTGAAATATCAAAATGAAAATACACAACACTAATTGCAACAAAATAATGATCAAATTGTCATTTTTACCAACTATGTAAATCAATAACAACACTGCACAGCTGTTGTCAGATAATTATCTCAATTAACTTTCTCTTTCCTTGCCTGATTATTCATTTTCAAGCAAAATATAATAACACATACATATGACAAAGATGCAGCATTCAGAAACAGAATTTGCAAATACATAAGTTCACATCAGTGGCAACCAGGAACAGAATTTGGAATGAAGTAAATTCAGGTCAGCAGTCACAAATGAGTTAATAGTGACAATCTTACAGGAAACACCCAAACACATAAGTAAATAAATATCATGTAATTTAATAAAGAACATGCCTCAGGAAAAAAAATCTTAAAAATATGAATACAAAACAAAAAAGTGGTTTGTAAAAATACATGTGGAAAATAACTTAGGGATACAATAATCAATAGTTTTAAAGTAATAATTACACTATAAAGTCTCTTACCAGTGTCAGAAATGTAGGCGTGAAGTTGTACTGAGTCATCTGAAGATACACTTGAAAGGTCATCTAAAGACTGAGAAAAAAAATCAGGAAACAAATTTTTAATCTTACAAGAAAGAAAGCATTAAAGAATTCTATGTCATATATGCATTACTCATCTTCACTGCATGTAAACTTTATATTATTTGTATATATACCACTGTTCCACACAAAACAATGCTCTCTAGTTATACACACAAGAGAAAAGTCAAGAGTAAGAAACTATAAAACAAAACAATTGAGTAATAAACTTAATACATCAGATTATTTTTTCTTTTATTGCTTCTCCATAAACTGTAACTTGATGCTTTTCAATTATATTCCATAAATGGCAAGAAAATTCAAACTAGATAAAAATAAGTAGATATGTTCTTAAGTTAACATTTTAATTTTTAATGTTGAAATACATTAGATGCAGCTCTGTATTCTTTAACTTAATATTTTTGTTAATTCAGAAACAATTTTATTAGTTAATTTAGATTCCCTATCTATAAATGAGAATAACAGTACCTCTGTCACAGGGTTATGTAAGGGTTAAATGAGAAGAGGTAAAACATATAGAAAACTGCCTAATACAGCAAATGTTAGCCATTATTACTTATTAAATGAAGTGAATTCACAGACTACAATAATTTTTACATAATTTTTAAAAATAATTCTACAAACAAAAATTATTATTGATTAACCTGAAATGAAGTTTTCATAATTATGGCCTTTGGGTCTAAAGTTAAAAAATGTTTTTGCCACATATACATACACCCACACATACATAGAAGAAAACATAATCACATAAGCAAGGCAGACTGTGCAGAAAAAGAGCTAACATGGCAGCCTGAAATTAGTCCACAGAAAGGATGTTTGCGAGGTTGTCCCCTGAATGGAACCTGGAAACTGAAGGTTTAGGGCAGGCTCCCAGGATTCTCTAACCGATATGGGTGGTTTACCATACCTAAACTATCTGTACAAACAATGTTTACATTGAACACCTGCATTCCTTCTGAGAGGCTAGAATTGTGGTGTGTGCTATGTGACCTGCCTCCAATAAGAAAACCTGTGCACTTAGTCCCCAGTGAGTTCTGCTGATGGCAACAGTTCACATGCTGTCACAACTCATGAATAGGGGAGTAAGTATGTTCTATATGATTCCCCGAGGGAGGACTCATGTGTCTCATTTCCTTTGGACTTTGCCCCATGGACTGTCCCCTCTGTTGATTTTGCTTTATGTCCTTTCACTGTAATAAATCCTAGTCAGTCACAAGTATGACTATGCTAAGTCCTATGAGGCTTCTGAGCAAATCACTGAGCCTGGCAGTGGTCTTGGTGACCACCTCCAACACATACAATCCAAACATACTTCACACTTCAAAAACCATAGGATCTTGGCTGGGTTTGGTGGCTCAGCCTGTAATCCCAGCACTTTGGGAGGCTGAGGCAAGTAGATTGCCTGAGTCCAAGGGTTTGAGACCCGCCTGGGCAACTTGGTCAGACCTCCTCTCTACAATAAATCAAAAATTAGCCGGGCATGGTAGCGCACACCTGTAGTTCCAGCTACTTGGAGTGTTGAGGCGGAAAGATCGCCAGAGTCAAGGTTGTAGTGGCCAGGAACATGCCACTGCATTCCAGTCTGGGCGACAGTGAGACTCCAATTCAAAAACTAAAAATAAAAAACAATAAAAAAATAAAAACCACAGGATCTGAAGAACTTTTGAATCACAACGTGGTATTATCAGTCATGAAAATAATCATCTAAATGACTTTAATGCAGTCACCTCTATGACATAAAGCCATTTAAATTAAGGCAATTGCATTCCAAGAAGAAAGCCAAAAATGTATCTATTCAAGATTGACAGTTAAGAGAAGCAAAATGTGATAATGCCACACAGATAATCCATAAGACTTCCCTGGTCAAGTGGCAGAATCATTAAATTAAATTAAATTAAATTAAATTAAGCCTAGTTGAGGCTCCACCACTGAAACTTTAAGAGATTTTAACAGTATCAACTACTCTTTTTTTGTAGTTCATTTTTCCCACTGGCAAAATGGTGTTAATACCCGCTCTATATCTCTGTCAGAAAACAACATGAATGAAAATACTTTGAAAAGAAAAAGAATGCCCTTTAATTTTTATGTGCTCATGTGACCTATAATAAAACATTTTGATAGAAATAGCACTACATTTACTTTATTTAATATTATTTTTAGGTGAAAGAAGAATCAGAGGAAATAAAATATTCTACCAAATTTATGTTATCTACTATAACTTCTTCCAGCTACAAGTTAGCATAGGGAACATAAAATAGTTTTTTAAATAAGGCATTATTAATAATGATAACTTTCCCTGCATGTAAAAAGTTTCCTTGCATTTAAAAAGCTAAATGTTCTTATCACTTTAAATATGCATGTCATACTATGCAATCTAAAAGTTGCTTAAAAACTTTGTAAATAAACGTTATTTTAGCACATATAAAATGTACAATTAATAAATATTATTTTCATTACATGAGAAACAATCTGATAAAAAAGTCTCTTAAACATTAATTACATTTATAATGTACAAGTAAATGCCAAGTAGAAAATAAAGGTATAACTGATAAAATGTTAACTATAAGACTACATCTGATTTAGAAATATAGACACTGGCTAGAAAAAGACAATTGCAATTTCAAACAAGTGCATAAATGCTATTCTGAAATAAAACAAAATTTGCAAAGTACTCCCCAAGTTAAGATTTTCAACCTCTTTGGAAGAAAAATGTTTTTTAACATTACACTAAGACAAAAATGGAAAATTCAAATTTACTATTATAGCTCATCAAATACAACTACTATGGCACTGCTTGAAATGCTTATAATTTACCTGCCAATCTCAACGGTAAAATGAGTAAAACACCAAACACTTAGAATATTTCTTTTGCTTAGTGTATTGAAATAAACTATCATGATCTAGTTTATAATCTTACACTATTTTTAAAATGCAGCTATTCACTAAAATGTGTCTCTATTTAAAAAAATATGAAAGGCTCTAGCTTCTTAAAAGTTTGGATTTAATAGATTTATGGGAATAACAAAATACTGCAAGTCACTGACTTCAAGTATAACCCCTTTTTGATTCAGGGACTATTCAGATTTGTATCACTATGTGAAAAAAGGGATTCCTCTTATTTAAACATGTATTTATTCCAGATATGAATTTTTTTAAAAAATTGTGTACTGGTGTGTTCAAACACACAAGCACTACAAATGTAAACACCAGAAAATTTCAAACCAAGAAAAAGTTTCACCACAACTGGAAACTTTTTCTATGTAATAAACATTATTTTTAAAGTTTTCTTCATATTCTAGGAGCAATTTCTTTTGTTATATGGCTCTGGACTACAAAAGTAAATGGCAATGATACCAAGTGATTTAGGAAAACAACATTTTATTATCTATGTATTTATGGTCAACATCTCTCTCTGTCACCTAGGCTGGAGTGCAGTGGTATGATCTTGACCACCACAGCCTCTACCTACTAGGCTTAGGTGATCATGGTGGTACACACCACCATCTTGGCTAATTTTTTGTATTTTTATTTTTACTGTAGAGACGAGGTTTTGCCATGTTGACCAGGCTAGTCTGAAACTCCTGAGCACAAGCAATCCACTTGCCTCAGCCTCTCAAAGTGCTGATATTAAAATGAGCCAAAAAACAATATTTTAAGTTAATAAAATGAGCATAGCCTGAAAACAACATTTTAAGTTAATCCCAGCACTTTTGGAAGTTGAGGTGAGAAGACTGCCTGAGCCAACGTCTCTACAATAAATCAAAAAAATAGCTGGGCATGGTGGTGAACACCTGTAGTTCCAGTTACTTGGAAGGCTGAAGCAGAAAGATCTCCTGAGTTGAGGCTGCGGTGGCCATGAGCATGCCACTGCACTCCAGCCTGGGCAACAGTGAGACTCTGACTCAAAAAAAAAAAAAAAAAAGTTATAAAATATCTGACATAACACTATTGCTAATTTGTTTAGTGTTTTGCTAAAAATTATATTTTGTATAGTAACAGAACATTTTTTTAGTAAGTTTATTTTAGAAACTAGTGTAGGCCAGGCTCAGTGGCTCAGCCTGTAATCCCAGCACTTCGGGAGGCTGAGGCGAGTGGACTGCCTGAGCCCACGGGTTCAAGACCAGCCCAGGCAACTTGGCGAGACCTTTTCTCTACAATAAATCCAAAATTAGGTAGTGCATGCCTGTAGTTCCAGCTACTTAGAAGGCTGAGGCGGAAGGATTGCCAGAGCCCAGCAGGTTTACGCCGGGATGGCCATGAGTGCTCCATGGCACTCCAGCCTGGGTGACGAAGTGAGACTCCAAAAAAAAAAAAAAAAAAAGAGAAAGAAATTAGAGCAGTAATTTATTTGACAATTTAAGAGAATAGACTTCTAAACCATTTAGCTATGACAAAAGGTTTAAAAGAAAAAGTAATGTAAATGGGAGGAAAAGAAAAACAATCAACCTCCTACCTCTTCCCCTCTCCCCACCCAGCCAAACTGAACTGAAACCTTCATGGAATACTAGCATTTCCCCCTAACAGCATTTTAAGAAATAAGTTATTCAATGGCAAGTTCATTCATGTATATATATATATATATATATATGAAATGAATATATGAATACATATATTGAAATGTTTATTACTTCACATCTCACCCTGAATATATGAAATGCCAATGATAATCAATATGCTATGAACACATCATTCTTAAATCTCTAATCACAGGGTATAGTTGCTATATCTCTCTCTAAACATCAAAATAAATTTTTTTTAGTGTAGACTTTATGAAATATATGTAAGTTTTTAGTTATTCCAACTAGCTTTATATTTCTTTTCTCAATACAAGAGGAGAAAAAGCAGACTTCAATGGAAATATTTGTGTCACAAAATTACTGCCTATCACAACACTAATCAGAGTCATTTAAACAGACTAAATATTAAAATTGAAAATAATGAAATCAATGTCTTTATAAGATATAATTGCAATTATACAGATATGATCAAAGCCTGTTTCTTAAATAAAAATGAATTATTTAAAATTATATTTTATAGATGCCTTATATGTGAACTTAGCATTTCTTTAAAAGAATAATAACATTCTACAATACTAAAGGTGATCTGGGGGTTTCTAACATATCATGTATTTACATATGTCAAGGCTCAGCCTTTTGCATTATTTTAAGTCATTTTAATAATTAAAGTACCCATAATAGTACTTACCAAATTTATGCTTCCAGTAGGAGACCCATTAAAAGATTCTGTAGGGGGGAAATTCAACTTAGTATATATAGTAAAAAACTTTAGAACGGTTGCTTTATCTAAGGTTCAGACACCAAGAATGAACGTCACAAAAGCCAAGACATAACAGAATAGTATTGAAAAACTGTGGAATACTCCCATAAACCTAATCTCTTAAGTCTCATGGTTTTCCAAGTCAGGTAGTTCAGTGAAAATATATATGTACCTGACAGCTGGTTAAAAAACAGGACAGCAATTAATAAATATTTTTATAGCATTATATTAAGTTGCCTAATACAATGCAAGAGTAAAGAAAACACTGCAGAGTGAAACCCATCAGAAAATGTCACCACTGATTTATTCCTGTCTCACTGGATTAAAAAATATTACAAATAAAAATAGCATTTAATAAGAGTAAATATTGATTTTTAATATCCTCTTAAGTCCACTTATACTTGGTAGTAGATTTCCTTAAAAACACTGAAAGTATAGATTCTTAAATCAGTATGTAACTAAAAGACAAAAAGATATTTAAAACTATATGCAGTGCCATTTAACTAAAAAGCAACTAAGAAATATTAACGTTAGAGCAAAAGTCAATTACAGATTATTAACATTAATGTCAAGCAATAATCTTTTCCCTCAGGGTTTTATTGTTTTTAAGTTACCATTTAAGGTATCCCTTTGTTAAACATACAAATGAATCTATGGCAAAGCGATATTCACACAGTTTAAAGTTAATACATGATTTCTAGCACTAAAAGAGCACGTATGAATTTGGTTCTTTTAATGGATCTTTAAAAAGCAAGGCTGTATAACTTCTACAAAGAGGCAGCCTGGTATTGCCTTCCAACTTTACTCTAAATACTCAAGAATATTTCTTGGTTCCTCAGACATTCGGTTCCCAAAATCAGGAAATTTCACCTAAGATTATTGCTTGCCTGACAGGAAAGTAATAATTAAAATGAAGAAACAAATAGTTATTTATCCTCCTTATTCAATTATATGTCTGCTATCTCTTCTGTGATCTGCCCACCTCTTAAATCTTCCCACCAAAGACAAGTCAAATTAAAAGGAAAATTCAGGAGCAGAATAAGGCATCATTTAGAAAGTATTCCCTGATCAACAATAAGATCCAGGAATACAGTCTAAAACCAGTCCTGGTTCACATTTAATCAAGAATTTGATAACTGCCTATAAATATCAGAAAACAAAAAGAAGTTTTGTTCGACATAGTGAGACAAATATGATTGAGATTAAAGTTTAAAAGCACAATTCAAGTATTTTTAAAAGACTGTCTGCTTTTAAAATAATTTAAAGCTGAAATAACTGAAGAAAGCAATCATGAATAAAGAGAAAGGAAAAAAAAAAAGGCAGGGAGGGCATATGCACGAGCCAGCCAGTCAGTCATCTACCTGCTGGCAAGTGCGGTACATAGGAAGGAAATGTCTTCCCCACCAAAGAAAAACCACCAGAGGACACAGCACAATCACAATGATAAGACTTGGTCCATCAATTTTAGGTTCAATTGTAGACTGTCTTTAAAAAAAAAAATCAGCTACATATTAGTCCTTGGATTAGACAATGATTTCAGAATGTCTAAAAAGTAGTCAAAATTTCAGAATGCCTAAAAAACAATATAGAGTGCCAAGAAGCTTGTTTTTAAAAGCCAGAAAACAATTATTAATAACAAAAAGTGTTGGAAGACTTACTTTTCATTAAATAATCATACAAAATGAAGTAAATCATAAGCATTACTATTTGAAAAAAAGTATACCAGTGGCCTAAAACCTAAACACCAACAAAGTCAACAAAGCTGACAGCTATTTTTAATAATAATATGTCACATTATACCCCTTACTCCACATTAATATTTTTCAAATGGCTTCAAAAAAAGGGATAGGTAAACTCTTAGTATAAAATGTATAAAGACTCATCAATTAGAAAACAGAATGTTAGGAAGCAATGTCCTAGAAAGATAAGATATGTAAGTATATAATTTCAAACTACACTGGCATACACTAAACGATTCAAATATGAAAGGTTATTCAATAATTGACATATATAAGAAACATATTCACTTCAAATCAAATCCAATTTCAGGAAAAAAAAATTAATGGACTTCATGTTTTAAATGAGTATGGTATAAGGTTTTGAGGCATTCGAGATTGATTAAAAATAGTTTGTAGCCGGGCTCGGTGGCTTAGCCTGTAATCCCAGCACTTTGGGAGGCCGAGGTGAGTTGGATTGCCTGAGCCCACGGGGTCAAGACCCGCCTGGGCAACTTGACGAGACCTCATCTCTACAATAAATCAAAAATTAGCTGGATGTGGTAGTGCGCGCCTGTAGTTCCAGCTACTTGGAAGGCTGAGGCAGAAGAATTGCCGGAGCCCAGCAGGTAGAGGCTGTAGTGTGCAGTGGCCGGGAGTGGCCAGAGTGAGACTCCAACTCAAAAAAAAAAAAAAATAGTTTGCTTCAAATAGTTGCATTAGAGGAAGATAGACTGGCTGGAAAGATGAATGGGAGTTAAAAGTCAATTTAGAAGACTGTGGAAGGATTCTCTAGTTTTATTGCTACTAGAGTCATTTAAAATTACACATTACTTAGAAGTTCAATTTATTGGTTATGACTCAATTTACCTTCTTTCATTCTGAGTCATATAGCAAATCCATTTCACAAAAACTAAGAAATCTCTAAGATAGATAAAATTAATACAAACAACAAAACCTTTTACAAGTTATTCTAGGATAGGTAGTTGATACAGAGTTGCTATTGCAAATTTCATAGCACCTCTACAAAAGAACATTTTTCAACAGAGATAGGAAGTAAAGATATAATATGTAATAAACTAGAAGTACATTAATTTTACTATTCATTCTCCATAAAAGTACTCTATTTAAAAATAAAAAAACTTCCTTAATATGCAATCAAAATCAGTTAATAGATTATTCTAATTTTATAAGTAAATAAACTTGAAAAAATATTAATTAAAAAACTCAAGGTGACATAGAAACAAGCAATACAAAAGTTATTAAAACTCAAACGCAAACTTCTGGAATTAGATCTCTTAGACTATTTAAAAAATAAAATTTCACCAATATAGACAGAGGGATAGAAGGTGGAGGAAAGGGGAGGCTAGGAAGCTTCCATAACAGAGGCATTTTTGAAGCAGTCCCCCTACCTAAATAGATCTATTGTATTTCCATTCCCAAGTGGTCTTGTCCATAAACCTATTCATAAGCAAATGGTCATTACTAAAGCACTTTCTTAAAATAATTATATAAATCTTTCCATTTACTTTTTCTTTACCTTGTTCATTTACATAGAACATACCAGAAAGTTAATCAAACCCTAGATATTAATTAGAGTTTAATAAATATTCCTGAAGTGAGTCACAAGAAAATTAATTACTGGGACTGAGATCTGGAGACTTGTGTTCTAAGGATTGTCTCTCCCACTATTATATGACACATTATTTACTAATTAAAACTGACACTTGTATTTCACTTTATAAATTTTTATACACATAATCCCATCTAGACCTGATAATGAATGAGGTTAAGATGTTATGATAAAAATATTAGTCCCAATTTACAACCAAGAAAAATGAGGCTTAAAGAAATTAAGTAGTTGGCCAACAGCATACAGGTGATAAGTTGGAGAATGGGAGTAAAATCAAATACTCTGACTCCTAAAGTCCACTTTTTTTTTAAAACTATAACATGCTTATAGGTGTCAGTATCATTTGAAAAAACTGAAAGTTTGGAATAAATGACATTAATGGCTTCTTAGAGCTCAAAAGTCTCTCACACTTGCAAGAATTAGGAAAGGATGCAAAAATTTTTAAAACTGTAGTTTTAAAATAATGCTTTTAGTTTATGATACACTGAGTCATCACTTGAATCTTCTCGATAATCCTATTATTAAATCATGACTATTATGACTAACAAAAGGGAAAGTACTATAAAAATATTTTAGTAACTCTCACTTCAAGATAACATTCTTCTTTAAGAATTCAAGGCTTCTATTGAATATTCTAATCTGTTATTAAACTTTCAACATTTTAATTTAGTATAATTGCTATATCTTCCATTCATTAATAGATTTTAAGTATATTACAACTTATATTTGAGTGCCAGGAACACTTTTTTTCTTATATAAAAGGTGTTTTTGTTGGTGAGCAGATATAGAAATACATAATACATATACGTAAAACGTGTGCCACCTTACCTCCATCCCCATCATCTGATCCTCTGAAACTAGGATCTTTTAACATGTCCAGCTCAGCTAACATACGCACATAAAGTGCATTCTGTCTGAAGGAAGGATAAAATCTTTCATCTCGTAGCATCAATTCATATACCTTATTGAAATAAATCAATATATCAGTAATTAACAGATATGTGGTGATTTTTACTAAATAAGATTTCACGAAAAGCTACATTGCAGTCTTGCCATAATGTATCACAGTTATAAGATGTTACTATTAAGATTATTTCACAACTAATCCTTTCTTCTAGTTCCTCTAGTAACTAAATTACACTGAAAAAGGTCCTACTACAATATAAGACATATGATAGGAGGTAAGACATACTATTCTAGGAAGTAGAGTTTTCTAAGAGACAAACACATGCACGGTTCCAATTAAAATGAATTTGAGAGGCATGTTATTTATGCGTCATTAATTCATCAAATTCTAAGACTAGAATATCAAGCTCTACACTCAGATTCAAATAAAACAACTCAAAGATTTTCCTCATCCGTCAATTCAATAAACAAACTCATCTACATTTTAGGAATTGAAACATACAACGGCCATAATTTATCTTTTAAGTTACCACTCTACTTTTTTAAAAGTTGTAATAACTTTAAAAAAATTAATTACACATACATGGAAATAAACAGTTTTTTCAAGAAAGATAAAAAGATAAATGCTATATATAATACCTTCCTTTGAATGTCATCAAAGATTTCAGGGGTTGGATCTTCATGATTCAAAGTATCTGCTAATTTTGCTACTAAATAGTCATCAACAGCAACTCTCGGAGATGCCTAACAATTAGAGAAAAATAACAGATTAATGATCTTTGTAATTTCTAAATACAGGTTAATACTTGATAGAAGGAAAATAATGGAATTCTACTATTGAAAACAATTGGCAGACAAGAATCACTGGTTTGTAAATGATACCTTGATGCTTAAAAAGGCTGAAATAAGGCTGGAACCTTCTCTTTATCATATACTATGTAGTCAACTGAAGCTCTGGCATGTCAATTAATCCTTTCTTTTTTACTTAAGACTGTGGAGAGTAAAAACACTAAAGATGGTAACTAACATAAAATGCACTGTTTAAATAACTTATCAATTCTATCCAATAAAATATCTAAGGAATAAATTGGATAAATCAGGAAAGAGAAAAATAAGTAAACAGAAGGGTATGAATGTATAGGGAAAAGGGCTATACAACTTCTAATGGTCCTCTGTCAATTCATCACTCTTGTTAGCAAACCTAGGTGGGTTGTGTGGCTGCTGTTGTTTGGGGGGGTCTCGAAGGTGTTATTTGTTATGGGTTTGTGTGTGGATATAGAAGGGGTTCCTCTAAAATAGAAACAGGAGATCTGCACAACTTTACAAATATGTGACAAAGATTAGAGAGGAGCATGATGTAAGTTGGTTTTTGCCCTTTCATTTCCCCTCTAAGCTCAGTTTCTAGAAAATTTTAAAGAGAAAATTAGAAAACAACATTTTACATTTATTTAGTTTAATTTTTAAATTTTTTCTATACATCTCAAGCACACAGAATTGGATTCAGTGACATTCTTGGCAGAGGGCGATCAACACTTCTAGGGAGCCAACAGAACAGTTTCATTAAAAAAAAAAAAGAATACAGGAGGAATATTCATGTGCAGTTTTTATTACTTTAATATAAAAACATAAAAAGGAGTTTTTTCCCAGCTATGTATTAATGTACGTTCTTTTTTAATTACACAGATGTGATTATTTAAACAAAGCAGTGGGACTAGTCAACAGGGGCAATTAGTAGTAATTAAGACTGATTAAACAAATAATCTGTGTGAGGAATGTACAATAATATGTAGTTTATAATGTTTGTCTTCTGATAAAGCAATTTAACCTTTAAAAAATTATTTATTGTATATTTAAATTTTACATACTACACTATTTTGTATTAATAAAATATAGAAACACAACTTTTTTTTTTTTCCAATTCAGGCAAAATGGTGCATTTTATTTAAATGGCTCTTTTTAAAATAGAATAACATTAGTCGTTAGCAGAGTATCATACATTCTATTTATATTAGAAACACAACTTTTAAAGGCAGAATATATACAACAGGATATTTCAATTTTGCAGGCTGTATTATTTTGCATTCCCAAAATATAGAAAGGTGAGACTTCTTAAAAGCCAAATGCACATGCAAAAAGATATCAATATTTAACAAAAAATAAGCAATGACTTTTCTGTTTCATTACGTAGTAGGATATTTTTACTTTTTCTGTTTCCTTTTCTAACAATACTTCTCTGAACTGACTGCAGCATTTAGGACTTCCTTTTATATAGGGTTACAAATGAATACAATCAAACATAACATTCAGTGTGGCTTTTACCTCTGCTCTTTTCAAGCCTCTCATTTATTGTGTCAAGTCAATGTAATAAAATCAAGTTAAACATCCTTTCAGCAAAATAATTTGCACATGTAATAATTGGGATTTATTAAGAATAGCAAGTTTATAAATCTGCAAGAATCTATTTCCAGTTCTCAAAGAAACATTCAGTAACTTCTATGGCTTGTTTAGTAGATAGACCAGCTGTTTGTCAATCAGATCCATTCCATATATAAATTTATCATATAGGCTATCCATGTATAAATTGCCCAGTTTTTAAATACTTTGAAGCATAATGATGTCTTCATAAGTCACTGTTTCTCAAAACAATGATTTTAAAATACAGGGATAAACCTGTGAAATTGAAGTTGCTTTCTAAATTGATTACACTTTTAGTAAAAATGTGAGAAAATTCTAATTAAGTTGGTTGTCCCTTTCTGAAGACATTTTTTTTTATCCTCAAGTAGTCTTATTTGAAGATCAAATAAGATTCTTTTTTTGAAAAAGAGAAGTCATTTTGTTTACCATATGAGTTTTTGTCACAACCTACACATAACATCAAACAACTCAGGTCAGTCGGTTAATCCTTTTCTAGATGGCATTTGGCTTCTTCAAAGATCACCCATCAGTTTTAGAGAAGCAGTATATAAATTTCTGTTTACTATAATCCTTTCCTCTTTTCTCATTCTCAAAGGATTTTCAAATTAGAGAAAGACATTCTTCTTGTCCCACACTTTGAAAATATGACTTTACTGCATACATTTTAGCATCTTTTCTATAGCTGTCAAGAATGGGAGTCATCTATTGTAATTTCCATTTCTCCTTGTCAGTTTGTTCATTTCACCTCAGTTGTTTAATTTGTTGCCATAATATTGACTATAATATCTGCTTATTCCTGTAGCATGGGGGGGGGCGGTGTTGACACTCTTCTTTCATTCATGAATTTGGTCATTTGTGTCTTCTCTCATTTTTTTCACTACAGTCTAGTTAAAGATTTGTCAATATTGTTAACATTTTCAAAGAACCAACTTTTGGTTTCATTGATTTTTCACTACTGTTTTTCTGTTTTCCATGTAATTAATCCTCATAATAATCTATTTCCTTCCTTCTGTTTGCCTTAGGTTTATTTTTCTGCTCTTTTTCTAGATTTTAAAATGAAAACATAGATTGTTTATTCCGGATATTTTCCATTATAGTTAGACATTCTAAAGCTAAAATTTCTAAGCATTGCTTTAGAAGCAAACTGTGAATTTTGAGATACTATGTGTATGTATTCATTTTCAATTAAAAATAACTTCTAGTTTCCTTGTGATTTCTTATTGACATGGAGGGCACTTAAAATATATTGTTTCATTTTGAAGTATTTGTAGATTTCTCAGTTCTTCTTTCTGTTGATTTATAAATTGATTCCATTCTGATTAAAGACTATACTTTGTATGATTGCAATATCCTTAAATTGAGACTGGCTTTATTGCTTAGCGTATGGTTTATCCTGGAGAATGTTTCATGTCTTCTGGAAAATAATGTGTATTGTGCTGATATGAGGGGAAATATTCAATTGATATGTTAGGTGTAATTATTATTATTATTTTTTTAGGTGGAGTCTCATTCTGTCGCCCAGACTGGAGTACAGTGGCATACTCCCGGCCACAGCAGCCTCAACTTGCTGGGCTCTGGTGAGCTTCCACCTCAGCCTTCCAAGCAGATGGAACTACAGGCATGCACTACCATGCATGGCTAATTTTTGATTTATTGTACAAACGAGGTCTCACCAAGTTGCCCGGGTGGGTCTCGAACCCGTGGGCTCAGGTTCCACTTGCCTTAGCTTCCCAAAGTCCTGGGTTTACAGGCTGGACCACCGAGCGCAGCGGGTCTAATTAATTTATAGTGTTTTTTAACTCTTGTATATCCTTGGTGATTTTTCTATCTAATTGATCTATCAATTATTGAGAGTGGGGGTACTGAAGTCACCAACCATTACTGTTGAATTATCATTTTTTTTCCTTTAATTCTGTAACCTTTTGCTTCATGCATTTAGGGGCTTTGTTGCTAGGTGCATATATGCTTATATATGTTTTATCATCCTAATCCTAGCTTCTTTTTGTCTACTTTTACATGGTTAATATTTTCTCAGGCTTTAACTTTCAATCTATTATCTCTCTTAATCTAAAGTGTATGTGACCTTGAATACTTTGTTATTTAGTATTTATATGCCCATGTCCATGTTAATTTAATTGCCGAAACATCAGATTTGTCACTTTATAAGGATAAAAATACAAAAGAAGACTGTTATCAGAACTAAATGAGAAAATGTTTGTGAGGTAGTGGCACCTGATATAAGTAATGAATATAAATATTAAGAAGTTACTATTAATAATACTGCCGAAGAAGAAAACAGTACTCCAAATATATCTTCACCTTTTCTGATAAATATTGCTCATAAATACCAACAGCTGCTGCTCTTAAAAGACCTTTGGTTTGGTTGGTTTGATGTTTTCCATCTCTCTGACGACTTAATAAAACCTCTAGCTGCTGTTGAGCTGTTACCCGGTATCCTTCCACTGTCATCCAGAAGAAAAGATGTGCTTGACCTCCAGTTTGCTGCATGTAATCTACCAAAATAAATCCATAACAACATAGATATTAATGTCACACAATTCTGGGCTCATATAGCTGTATTACAAGTAAGTAAGAATGATTATAGCTTCAAGTATTTAAAACTCGACATTTTTAAAATGTTTCAGCAAACTCTTGAGGTTAAAAAAAAAGTTATAACATAAATTGGTTAAGCTTAAAAAAAGTTATATAAAAAATACAAATGAGAGCACATATTTAAAACCTTTGAAAATTCCATTTCTTATGATAAAATCTCTAGTGAATATATTTGCTATATAAGGCTTCATCAACAGTAAATGACTTTAACATTCTACATTTGTTCTCAATAAAGATTATCAGTCATAATATAAACATTTTTAGATATATTAAAATAAAAAATGACTCTTCAATAAATCATTTACATTTTTGATAACAAAAATGAAGATTTAGAGAGTTTTGCTTAAAGCATCCTCCAGATAAAAGGAATTTCAATGTGATATTAATAAAATAACATGTAAATAAATTATTTACATATTAAAATGGTACAAAAACAAAGTTCCTCATATACACATAAACATGAATGAAAATGATATAAACAAGTTACATACACTGTGTATTCCCAATAAGGGACTCTTTCTCAATAAATTTAAATTCATATTCAAATGTCCTAGGTTTTATTCTATAAGAAGTTTAGCAAAAGAAAATTAGTTATAGTATGCATTTACTACCTTCAAAACAAAATAAATCTCTATCTCCATGGTTTCTAAAGAAAACATGACACATACAAACAAAATCTTCAAAAGATTTCAGCAGATTTCGTATAAGAAACCCTGCAGGCCAGAAGGCAGTGGGGTGATATTCAAAGTGCTAAGAAAAAAATACTGTCAACCAAGAATTCTATGTTTGGCAAAACTGTACTTTATTAATAAGGGAGAAATAAGACTTTCTCAGAAAAGCAAAATCTAAGGAAATTCAATACCACAAGAGCTGCACTGCAAGATGTGTTGAAAGTTGGCCAGGCACGGTGACTCATGCCTACAATCCCAGCACTTTGAAAGGCAGAGGTAGAGGACTGGCTGAGCGCAGGAGTTTGAGACTAGCCTGGGCAACTAGGCAAGACCTTGTCTCTACAATAAATGAAAAAAAATTAGCTGAGTGTGGTGGTGCACACCTGTAGCTCAAGATACTTGGAAGACTGAAGTGGAAGGAGCATCTGAGTCCAGCAAGTTGAGGCTACAGTAGCTGTGAGTGTGCCACTGCACCCCAATTTGGGCAACAGAGTGAGACTCTGACTCAAAAAACAGAAAACTAGGTAGCAAGTCAGTAAAGAAGCTTTATGAAGAAATAAAAGTCTTAACAAAGATAAGCATCTGGGCAATAATAAAAGCTAATATTATTATAACTGATTTGTAGCTATACTTTTTGTTTACTACATGATCTAAGAAACTAATAAATTTTTTAAAAAACCAATCATCAGTCTGAAAGCCAGCAATATTGTACTTTGGCTTGTTGCTCCATATTTTTATTTCTATGTAATTTACATGACTATTTCATTTTAAACAATTATTAGCTCATATTTTGGAACATAAAATGTATACGGAATTAATTTTGTGACATCAACAAAAAAAGGTAGGGAATAGAGCTGTAAAGGAGATTTCTAAATGTATTTGAAACTGAGCTGGCATAATTCCAAATTAGTGTGTTACTTCAGGATATTAAATATAATCCCTATAGAAGCCAAAAGAAACCAGCATACACAAAAGGAATGAGAAAGGAATTTAAATGTGTCACAACCAAAAAATCAACTAGACACAAAAGAAAGTTATACAGGAAATGATGACTAAAAAAGATATAAGGCACATAGAAAACAAATAACAAATTACAAAAGTAATTCCCTTCTTATCAATAGCTAATTTAAATGTAAGCAGATTAAACGCTAATGGAAAGGCAAATCATTGAAAGGCAAAGATTGGCAGAATAGAGTCAACTATCTGTTGTCTACCAAAGACTTATTTTAGATACAAAGACACAAATATATTGAAAGTGAAAGGATAAAAAAATATGTCTTGCAAATCGTGATCAAAATAGAGCAAGGGAGGTTATTTGACTATCAGGAGAAAACAGACATTAAAAAGCTAAGATACAAATAAGGCCAAAATCTATTAATAAAAGATTCAATATAGCAAGCTGATACAACAATTATAAACACTTGTATGGCTAAATAACAGATCATCAAAATATCTGAAGCAACAACTGACATATTGAAAGGAGAATGAGACAGTTCTTCAATAATAGTTGGAGATTTCAATGCCCCTCTCACTAACAGAACAACCAGACAGAAGATAAGTTGAAAAAAGAGGAATAATACAACAAAGTAAATTTAACACACATGTACAGACCACCACCGTACACGTACACGTTACTTTCAAATGTACATAGAACATTTTCCAAAACAGCATACACGTTACTTTCAAGTGTACATAGAACATTTTCCAAAACAGGCCATATGTTGGGCAACAAATTAAGTTTCATTAGACTGTAAAAGATGAATATCATACAAAGTATCTTCTCTAACCACAATGGAAGTTAGAAATCACTGTCTAAAGCAAAACTAAAAAACTCAAAAATCTTTGGAAATAAAACAACATTCTTTTTTTCTTTCCTACTCATCTTTTGATAAACGAAAACAACACAGACTTAAATAATCAATGGATTAAAGAAGAAACCACAAGAGAAATTAGAAAATATGTAGAGATGAATGAAAACAGAAATACTGCATGATCAAAACTTGTGGGACACAGCAAAAAAGACCTCAAATTAACATTCCAACTTTACAACATTAGGAACTAGGAAAAAAAAAAACTAAACCAGAAGGAAGGAAATAGAGTAAAGATTAGAGCACAGACAAAATAGAGAACAGAAAAAAAGTAAAAGCAAAAACTGATTATTCCAAAAAGCAGCAAAAGTGACAAATTGTTTGCTAGAATAACTAAAAAAGAAGAGAAAAAACTGAAATTACTAAAATCAGAAATGAATGTGAGGCTATTGCTACCGATTCTACAAGAATGTAAGTACCATGAGCAACTGTATGCAAACAAATTGGATATTCTATTTGAAATGAACAAATTCCTAGTAAAAGAATACTTACCAAGACTAAATCATGCATAAATAAAAAATCTGGGACTCTTAAGTAGTAAGAGATTGAGTCAGTAATCCAAAGTCTCTCAATAAAAGAAAGTCCTGGAACTGATAAGCTTCATTGGTGAATCTATCAAACATTTAAAGATAAAGTAGCACTCGTCCTTTTCAAACTTTTCCAAAAAAATCAAAGGAGAAATATTTCCTAACTCATTGTATGAGGGTAGCATTACCCTGACAACAAAGCCAGATAAAAACAGTAAAGATTTAAAAAAGATTAAAAACAGTACAAGAAAATAAAACTGAAGACCAACATTACTTATGAATGGTGTAAAAATTTTCAACAAAATACTAGCAAACCAAATTCAGCCACATATTAGAAGCGTTACACAACATGCCAAAGTGATATTTACTCCTGGAATGCAATGATGGTTCGACATACCAAAAAAAAAAAAAAACCAACAATGTCACACACCACACATATTAAAAGAATGAAGGAGAAACACCTTATGATATCTTAAATGATACACAAAAAGCATTTGACAAAATTCAATACTTTCATAACAAAAACTGTAAACAAATACGAAAAGAAGAAAACTACCTCAAAATAATAAAACCCACTGTGAATATTACACTTGATGATGAAAGACAGTATTTTTCCTCAAAGATCTGCATCAAGACTAGTATGTCCTATTTTGCCACTTTTTAAAGAATAAGTAAAAATTATGACTATTCACAGAGGTACAAAACCTTAAATATTCCATTAAAAAATACCTGTAGGGAACGGGCACAGTGGCTCAAAGCCTGTAATCCCAGCACTTTGGGAGGCTGAGGTGAGAGGACTGCCTGAGCCCAGGGGTTCGAGAACAGCCTGGACAACTTGGCGAAACCTCATCTCTACAATAAAGCCAAAAATTAGCTGGGAGTGGTAGCGTGCGCCTGTAGTTCCAGCTACCTGGAAGGTTGAGGTGAAAGATCGCCTGATCCCAGCAGGTTGACGCTGGGGTGGCCATGAGCATACCACTGCACTCCAGCCTGTGAAACGGAGTGAGACTCCAACTCAAAAACAAACAAATAAACAAACAAAGAACCTGTAAGAACTTATAAATGAAAAGAGCAAAGTATTAGGATACAAAGCCAACAAAGAAAAACCAGTTGCATTTCTACACACTAAAAATGAACAATCTGTAAAGGAAATTAAGAAAACAATTTTATTTACAATAACAACAGAAAGAAAACAATATTTAGGAATTAGCTTAACCAAGGAGCCGAAGGACTTATACAATTTAAATTACAAAACACTGCTAAAAGAAATTAAAGAAACAAAAAATGGAAACACATTCCATGTTCACAGATTGAAAAATGATATACTGTAAAGACATCCATACTACCCAAAGCAATCCACAGATTTAATGAAATTCCGATCAGAATCCCAATGATGCTTTTTGCAGAAAGAGGAAAACCATTCTAAAATTCACATAAAATCTCAAGAAACCTCAAATAACCAAAATATTGAGAAAGAAGAACAAAGTTGCAAGATTCATACTTTCTGATTTCAAACCTTGCTACCAAGCAAGAGTGATAAAAGACATGTTAACCAAGAGAACAGAATAGAGAGCACTGAGATAATCCTTCATATATTAATATACGAGGGGGAGCCCCCCAAAACCCAGAATTACCATTCTGATATGGAGCCCCAAGTTGTAGTATAGGCTTCCCCTGCTAGGTAAGTGTTCCAGGAACCCACTGGTGTCAGTGTGCCAGCTAGCTTTGTTGTGAGAGGCTGTGTTGGACTTCAGTGAGTTTTCTATGGAGATTCTTTCAATGAGTTTGCCCATTTCATGATAGGTAGGTGATTTACATAAAAAACCTGCCCATACCATCCTG